GGCCAGTAATTGAAAGTGACAGTTGCATCTTTATGAACATATACCCAAACTCGTCAACTGGTGTAATTAACAAAGGAATATTGTCATCACTTGAGATCGTCGATTATTCAGTTTTTATCTTCGTCACCTTGTTAACTATTATAACCTTGGCATTACATTTTACTCGGTCTAATACCAGAAGTAGTGGTCAGATTAATTCTACTATTTATCAACCTTCGATCATAAAGTTTCTTTTGAGAGCAATCAAAGGTACATTCGGGTTATATTTATTTCTAACCTGTTCTCTCTCAGTTCATTACATATTTCATTTATTTTCCGCGTCGTTTACAACACAATACTCGATAGCTTCACGTCCAGCACCATTGAATACATGGTCTGATTTAACTTCACGGAAAGAAATCAATTGTACTGCAGTTAAAAGTAATTGTTATCGTTTTGCAAATGATTCTGTTGGCTTAGAAAACCCGCTAACTCCAATTAGCCATTTGTCACTCCCAAGACATTACAAGGAGACGGCTAATAAATCAATGATTTCTCACTTTGAAAAATATGTGAATATTGAATTTGAGTTGAGATCGTATTGCAAAGTGCGTTATGTTCTTAAGACTGGAGAAAACGATTTTCTGTTTCATACTGGTACAGTTCGCTATTTTGAAAGAACAGGATCATTATTTTATTATACGAATATTGATCGTAATAAGAAACGGTGGATTACCAGATCTTTATATTCTGGCATAGAACACGGTCTTTGTACTGTCGCAGTCTCGAAAGCTATAAAAACTTACTTTGGTCCAATTTATAAGAAGAAATTTCCAAAATGTCGGCGTTACGAGAGATTGAGTACTCGATCCGAGGGCTCATACAGTCCAATTACTTATTCAAATTTTTCTGATCTAATTTATCTTTGTTTATCACTTTATATTCTTACAGTTCTCTCATTTCTGTTTGAAGTTTTTCTCAGCAAATATAAATCTTAAGACAGAAAAATAATTCGTGGATCATTCATCGGCCAATAGAATTAATTACCAATTCCATAGCACAATAGAATTGTTGCTTCTCCAGGTAAACGTAAAGTTTACTCAATGGAATATCTTCATTCAAATTGACGATTCATCAACACGAAACTCAGGCCACTTTGGTCATTCGTTGGTTTACCTTAGATCAATGAGAAGAAAATTACTGATCGACAGGTAAATTGATACAAGGCCTAATTCAGAAGCAGTGAATTCTGAACGAGTATATCGTAACAGGGGGAGATTCAATGAGAGTAATGAGTCTATTCTTTACAGATTTAATTTTTCCTCATCTTACTCTCTCTTTCTCTTTCTTTTTCTCTTTCAATTACTTTTTCATTCACTCGTTTGGTCTTTCTCTCACTTTTAAAAGTGTCACTAATATTAGCAAAATTTTTCATTAAGCTTCGGCTCTAGGCCAACCTCCCTCCAAAAATACACAGCTTTTGAATTTTTTTTGTATTCTAGTTGCTAAGGGGAAAAGGAAGAGGCTCCTCCTTTACCACAACGTCTTGGACCTTACCCCAATGAGATACCAGATTAAGTGAAATCATTCAAATGCTATGAAGATTAAAATAAAAATTAAGAAAATTCATAAAAATTCATGATACAGAGAAGAGAGAAAGAGAGACAGAGATAGAAATAGAGAAGAAAGTGGTTTTCAAGTTTTTGAATTTTCGTGTTTTAAAAGCGTTTTGATTGTCGTTTTTGAGTGGCGTTTGTTTCACTTTGTGTCACAGTGACACTGTCACTTATAACTATCACATGGAAAGAAAATTGAAAACAGGGTAAAACCATAACAAACCAAAAAAGGCTCCTAGGCTAAGGGACTATATGACCAGAGATTTCTGGTCGAATAGGTTGTTCCTATTTTAACAACCGGCGACAAATTGATAAATTTCATGTTTGGTTATTTAATTGTTCCCGTTTAGTTGAATTATCTTTTCAAACTGTTTATCTACCTTTGGAATTTCAATTGCAATATGGAGAGAAGATAATTAAATCACCACCATTACAAACAATACAAACATGGAAACATTTCTTGCAAGAAGATATTGTAAACTCACCGGTTACATTGGAATTGTTTATTTGTTTCCTTAATCATTTACGGATTTGTGATGATTTAATGCCAAAAATGATTATACCTCAAGAAAATGAGTGTATCCAAGGTACAAGAGATCAAATTATGAATTTATCGTTCGATAGTTTGAAAAATCAACAGCAATTATCTCTTGTATTGAGATTGTCTCATGCTTGGGGTAATTTGGTTTTGCTTAAAAATTTTTACGACAATCAAAAATTGACAACTAATTTGGTTAAACATTCTTGGTACGATATGGGACCAATTCATGATTATTACGATTCTGGTGTTTGGAAAGCAATTGTCAACCAATGTCTATCATCATCAGATGACAATCTTGTACAAATCATATTCCAAATGATGATACAGAAATTGTCCTTCTTTACCAAAACCTTTTACTCCGAGAGCAGCGATCCTGAAATCCGTGATTTATGTAAACAGAATATACTAATTATAGTTAATTGTTTGTAAAATAAAGAGCTTCAGTCAGAAATTCACAGAAATAATTCAAATCAGAATTCAACACCAAAAAGATGAATTCCAAGTTAATCACTTCCTTGGAAATAATAACCAATCAAAGATGAAAAGGAATTAATTAATTAACCCAATTCAAAGTAAACAATTTAATCACAAACATCACAAACAATTATTACGATTCACGATTTTTCGCATGAAAATTAAGGAAAAACTAGGCTACCTACAGACACAACAAAAATATCAAATGAAAGAGCTTAAAAATCTACACCCGCAAAAAATAGAACCAATGTCATAGGTGGTCAGGGTCAAAAGTTATTAATTAATGAAAAAAAGGGGCGTTAAATTGACCAAATTGAAATGTTAATTAGATTAATAAGAGGATTAGATAGAAAAGAAAGAGAAATGGGGGAGAGAGAGAAGGGGTGAATTATGACGTACGGGGCAATGAAAGGGAAGAGAAAATAAAGAGTGTAATGAAATAAACCAAGGACTAACGGATTTAACCACCCTATCAACCCGAAAGAGTTAATCAACATGAGAAATTCCCGTTTTCTTGATCCTCTCACCTTTAATTAATTACTTTAATTACCCATAATAATTCATAAATTGAGATATTTCCTTAGCTCTCTCTCTCTCTCTTATCTACTTCTCTCTCTCTTTATCCTCTTCATCCTTTTAAAACCCAATTAACCTTTAAGAAATTGTAATTCTTAGATTAGCAATAAATAAATTTAGTATAAAAAGGGGTAACAAATAATAAAGATTTAGATTCAATAAGGCAAAGTAATCGCCAACGAGTCTCATTCTCTTCACCGGGACTTCGTCATTTTTTTGTGACAAAGAGCATCAGATGAATTTAAGTTTTTAATTGTATCAACCGCACGCCCTGGGATATTAAACTTCGAGGGGTTAATCAGAGATTTGATTACTACGTTTAACTCAAGGTTCAAATAACGGTTTTTCCGGTCGACCATATAAAAAGACAGAAAAGATCACAGTCGTGAATTCAATTTCTTAAAATTTACTCAGAAAAGCGATCATGTTGATCGCAGGATTCGCCTTGTCTTTATTAATCTTTAATTTAGATAAATTTAATTAATCATCAACATGATTAATTAACCATCACCATCATTATCCAGTAATCAACTGACTCGTTGTTGTTGATTGTCATCAACAATCAATCATCATCATCATCAATAATTGATGTTGATTAACAAAATTAATATTTGTTAACCTGTTGTTGTTGTGGTTGATCAATAGCAACAATAACAATAAATATTTGGCATCAATTAATTAATTGTAGGTTGAGAGAGAGAGAGAGAAATTAAATCAAAAAGAAAGAGAAAAGTAAGAGAAAATGAAAGAGAAAAAGAAAATAAAGAAAGAGATGAGAAAGAGGATTTCTTATCCTTTGGTTTCTCTTTCAAAAAGTTGACTTTACATTACATGTATTCTAACCTTGGTAAAAATCCTGACCTGTTAAATTCATTGGATCTATGGAAATTTTCATCCTTTGTGCCCGATGAACATAACGACCAATTGACCCAAATCATAGTTGATAGAATCGGTGATTGTGAAGAAGAGGAAATTAACTTGCAACTATCATCAACCATTGATAAAGGTTGTGAAAGGTCAAGTTTCGTATTGTCCATGGTGGAATCGATTTTACGTAAGTTTATCGTTAATATGGATGAAAATCGAGAAATTGAGAAAACTTCTAAACTAATCAAGAAGAGAAATTTAGTTCACTGAACAAATTACAAAAAGTTAACCCCCTAAAATTACCAAAATTGTTGATCTTTAAAATATAAAAGTGTATCTATCACTATGAATGAAATGTATCAGAAATTGATAAAATCAGTATTCAAACAATAACTCTCTTGCATCACCTAATTTGCACTTAATTGTATTCTGAATTTTGTATCCAATTGATAATTAGTCCAAAACCAAAGTTTGGGTATGACATTAATACTCAAGAAATCAATGATACGATACTTGGATTTTCTTTTTTCATGATTAATTTTAGAGCAAAAATCTATTTAGAAACGAAGTTCGAGATTCACAATCATTATAAATGTGATATAAATCTATTTTTGACTTGAAATCCATTAAAAGCCAACTCATATCGTTTTGGTTTCTTCAATTGGTAAACACTGTAATTTACATTTTGTTTGTCACTAAATTTCATATGAATCAATAGACAAAGTTAATGTTAATGTTAAACAATCATATGATCGTTAAATTAATCTATCATCTAATTAACCTAATCTGAATAAACTTTCTTTAATTAACTTATTCAAATAATGATTCACAAATTAACAAGATCAACTCATTAACTATTAATTTTCTTCATCTTCATATTTACATTTGGTCAACAAAACCTAATCGTTATACCTTGACAGAGCTTTTTCAGTATAAGAAAAGTGTATCAGTAGATAACCTCGAAAAATGGTAAACTGTACAAAATAAAAAGATAAAGTTGATGACCTGTTCATTTGTGAATCATTATTTAAATACGTTAATTAAAAAAAGTTTATTCAGATCGAGATAATTAAATAATAGAGTAAATTAACGATCATCCGATGCTTTAACGTTAACATTGACTTTGTCTATTGATTCAGATGAAATTGATTTAATTGTGACTAATTCGATGCGATTAAAGTGACGATTAACATTAATCAATTGGGATAATCTTGATAATCGTTTTGTATAAAAACAAGAGTGTTAAGTTGATCATTATCACTTTTAATCATCAACTGATTTATTAACAACTAAGAAAACAGTTTTGTCTTTTTTTAAAATAACGATTAACAACTTTAAGCTTAATCATTTCTACAAAGTTCAAAGTTATGTCGTTTCTGAGCTTCAGCGTTTTCAACCAATTGCTTTCCCTTATTTATACAATAATCTACAACACTTGACCAACTATGTCCACCTCTCATGGTAAGTTTCAATTCAATTACTAGTAAAAGAAAAGATGAAATATAAACTAATCAATTGACCATATTATCATACATCTTTATCAAAACGGAAGATTTGGATTTACCAGCTTTCTACTTTGATCCTCTCATTAATCCAATAACCCACAGTCGAGTTTCAGTTAAAACAATTGAGCCCATTCCTGATGATGATAAATTAGATTAAATTGAATATTGGAAATAATAGAAAATTTCTAACAACTTTTGTGTTTTATAAAAATAAAATCTAATGGCTCATAAGCCACTGAAAAGCATCATGTTGATGAATTTGTATCATGTTCATTATTTCAACAAAAGGATCTCTAAGTCACATAACTTTATTTGATTTTTTAAAAGGGTCAACACGCGTCAAGATTTAATGATTATATTGGCAACGGAAAAGTCATTTAGATTACAGTGTAATAGAATTATCGATTTGAATAAAAACACTTGAGAAATTCTCATAATTATTTGATGTCTACGCTTGGCATTTTCTATTCGATCTTTTCTATTATAATATAATAATGATGAATGATGTCATTTTCTTAATATCGTAAAATTTTGTTTCATATTTTTCATTGTGAGCTTTGGATAAGTAATGAATAATTCTAGGGGTGTTTTGAGAGTTCTATTCACGGATTCAAAATCTCTACCCCAGGGTTACATTAAGCTTATCCTAGAAAATCACCTAGGTAAATTAGGTTAATTTTCCAATATCCTTAGTTTACCCAGTGAATAGAAAGGTCGATGATTTGTACGAAATACCAGCCGAAGCTGATCTAATTTATCCGGATCAATATATTCATTTCCTGGGTGGTAAAGAAAGTAATGTATCCGCTGGGCCAGTAATTGGAAGTGAAAGTTGTGTCTTCATAAACATATAACCAAACTCGTCAACTGGTGTAATTAACAAAGGAATATTGTCATCGCTTGAAATCGTCGATTATTCAGTTTTAATCTTCATCGCCCTGTTAATTACTATCGCATTGGTATTATATTTGACTTGATCTAATATCAGAAGTAGTGATCAGATTAATTCTACTTTTTATCGACCTTGAATCATAGAGTTTACGTTGTTGATAATCAAAGGTAAATTTGGGTTATTCTTATTTCTAACCTGTTCTCTCTCAGTTCATTTCGTATTACATTTGTTTTCGGCATCGTTTACAACACAAACTCGATAGCTTCACGTCCAGCGCCGTTGAATACATGGTCCGATCAATCAATCAATTGCGATAACCTTCATCACCTTTTTGTATATTAAAAAAAAAGAGTTGTAAGTTGGTTATCATCACTTGTAATCATCGATTGATTTAATCAACACCAAAAATAACAGTTTATTGGTGAAAATTTTGGCAAACTTTAATTTATGATTTCTACTTATTTTTTCTGTTCAATGTTGTTTCTATTTATTAAATAGTTATTAAATTCAATTCTCAAAACACCAAAACTTTTTTCTGATTTATTACTTTTTCGCGTTATTTTATTCAAAAACTGTTGACCGCGTTGATTTTATTCTCGTTTTAATCCAAATTTCACAGAAAAAATTAAAAGAAATCTAGTGAAATCTATCGACCGAAGAAACTTCTAACATAGACTGTACATGCCACTGTTTGACCGACTTGTTAAAGATATGCTGATAAAAGAGAATTTGGTTACCAAGAGGCTCAAAAAGAAGAGATGCCTCCAGAACATGTCACACTATGTCCAACAAAACATCCGAAAGTTTCATAAAATATGGATTTTTCTTTATCCGAAGCAAAGCAAAAGAAGGAAACAAAGTTCTGATATATTATCTTTTCGGTCAACTTTGCTTCGAAAACTACAAGTTACACTTACAAAATTTTAAGGCCACTAGCGTAACCTACGTAACTATAACGGTAAATCACCGATTCAAACTGGAAAAAAATACGTAGGCTTACAGTTGACACATAGTCAAACACATTGCGATATAAAAATCTATTTTACAAAGTGACTGTGTGAGATGTTTTTATTCATTCATTTTTAACCGTAACACCCTTGAGATGTTCAATTATTGGAAATTCACTTGATTTGATTCACTAAAAAGGGTCAACACGCGTCAACATTTAATGATCATTATATTGACATGGAGAAAATTAATTGACTCCAATCCTCGATTGATTTACTAGATGATTAAATCGATTGAAATGGAAAAGTTTTTCACAAACTTTTAATATCAACCAAGTCTCTTGATTACATTGATTTTATTAATATATTCTATTAGTTTACTTGCGTTCTTTGATATGATTTTATTTTCTTAATATCGAGTATTGATATAATTGATATTTCTGTAAGATGACTACATGTAGCAGCTATGCAATGAATTATTCTCGAAATTTTCTTAAAGTTTTAACTTCTCTGAGAGGATCCAAGGGTTACCTAAAGGTTCTATTCGAAAATCAGTTAGGTAATGTTCCAGTATTGTTCGTTGACATGGACAGTGAGGCCGACGATATTTCGTTCGTCTCATCAGGCAAAGTTGATCTACTTTTTTCGGCTAAATATTTACATCCGCTGGACGGGACAGAAACTAATGTGTCCGTCGGGCCAGTAATTGGAAGTGACAGTTGCGTCTTCATGAACATATACCCAAACTCGTCAACTGGTGTAGTTAACAAAGGAATATTATCATCACTTGAAATCGTGGATTATTCAGTTTTGATCTTCATCACCCTGTTAATTACTCTCGGCTTAGCATTGTATTTTACTCGATCTAACATCAGAAGTAGTGAACAGATTAATTCAGCCTTTTATCGACCTTCGGTCATAGAGTTTCTGTTTCTGACGATAATCAACAGCAAATTTGGTTTATGCTTATTTCTAACCTGTTCTCTCTCAGTTCATTACATATTACATTTATTTTCCGCATCGTTTACAACACAATACTCGATAGCTTCACGTCCAGCGCCATTGAATACATGGTCTGATCTAACTTCACGGAAAGAGATCAATTGTACCGCTCATGAAAGGACTTGTTATCGTTTTGCAAATGATTCTTTTGGCTTAGAAAACACATTAATTCCTATTAGCCTTGAATCATACGATAAATTTATCTATGGAGCTACTGATAAATCAATGATTTCACATTTTGAAAAGGATATTAGCGTTTTACGCGTTTTGAATAACTATTGTAGATATCATTATAATCAAAATTTTATTATGCTAAGAAAAAAAGAAATCGACATGCTAGTTCATGTTAGTACAGTTCGTTATTTTGATAGAAGAGGTTCATTCTTTTACCACACAAATATTGATCGTAATAAGAAAAGATGGATTATCAGAACTTCCTATTATTCTTTTGAACATGGTCTTGCTGCCGTTTCATTCTCAAAAGCATCAAAAAGATGCTATGGTCGCATCTCTAGCATTCTCTTTCCAGCATGTTGGCGTTTCGAGAAGTTAAGTAATCGACACATAGGTTCATACAGTCCAATCACTTATTCTAATTTTACTGATCTAATTAACCTTTACTTATTACTTTGTATTTTTTCATTTGTCTCATTTCTGTTTGAAGTTAGTCTCATCAAATGTAAATACGAAGACTGGCAAAAACAGTAGTTAGTAAGTTGCTAAAGCGTTTCTTTGATTTGTTGAGTTGTCATTTGAGTACATTAATCGGCGAGAGCGTTGACTCTGTCTGGGTGTAAAGAATAAAATGATAGAATTAACATTCATCAGAATATTCATGTATTGATTCATATGAGATCTAGTATATGAAAAATGTAAATTAATTGCAAATAAAGGTTCAAATCTACTAATTTAGTTGTGATTCATTCAACATTGTATCGTTTTAATTGTGACTGGATCAGTCTGGCTGATTCATACAGGTGGTCAAAGTGACAATTAACATAAATCAATTGCGATAACCTTCATCACCATTTTGTATAAAAAGAAAGAGTTGTAAGTTAATTACCATCACTTGTAATCATCGATTGATTTAATCACCAACTATTAATGAAATAACAGTCTGTTCTTTTGTTTTAACATAACAACTTTAGTTATCTAACAATCATGAACTTCAACGTTTTCAGAGTTTTCATCGTTTTCATTATTGTCCTCGCTACAACTGCTTCAGTCCACCAGCAAAAAAGTGCTGTCGATGATCTTGGTACGGTAGTCGATGATTCAGTACTGTTATGATTTCTGTTCGATACTGTTTCGATTTATTAAATAAATTCAAAATCTCCAACCAACTAAACTTTTTTTCTGATTTCTTAATTTTTCGCGTTATTTAAAATAACTTATTTTATTCAAAAATTGTTGACCGCGTTGATTTTATTCTCGTTTTAATTCAAATTTCGCAGAAAAAAATTTAAAGAAATCTAGTGACATCTATCGACCGAAGAAACTTCTAACATTGATTCTATAGACTGTACATGCCGCTGTTTGACCGACTTGTTATTATCTTTTAACTCGTGTTAAGTTAATTAGTTCGTTTATTTTCGAATTTAATTGATTTTGTGATAATTTAATTCAGTGCTGACGTGGTAATTGACAGGAACCTTTTTGCTCTCTAGTTTGTTAGGGCAACATGGAGGTTATGATGGAACAAGATGTGCGTTTCCTTACTGAAGATGAGCTTAAAGAGAAATCAAAGAAATGGCAATTGTTACAGTCTAAAAGATATGCTGATAAAAGGAAATTTGGTTACCAAGAGGCTCAAAAAGAGGAGATGCCTCCGGAACATGTTAGAAAAATCATCCGTGATCATGGAGATATGACAAGTAAAAAGTATCGACATGATAAGAGAGTCTACCTTGGGTCGCTTAAATTTATGCCTCATGCTGTTCTCAAGCTAATGGAAAATATGCCAATGCCATGGGAACAAATTCGTGAAGTTCAAGTCCTTTATCACATTACAGGTGCCATAACCTTCGTTAATGAAATACCCTTGGTAATTGAACCTGTTTATATCGCTCAATGGGGCAGCATGTGGGTCATGATGAGGAGAGAGAAACGTGACCGTCGTCATTTCAAAAGAATGAGATTTCCACCCTTTGATGACGAAGAACCTCCACTAGATTATGCTGATAATGTTCTTGATGTTGAACCATTGGAAGCAATTCAAATGGAATTGGACCGTGAAGATGATGCCGCTGTGGTCGATTGGTTCTATGAACACAAACCATTGTCCGATTCTAGATATGTTAATGGACCTTCTTACAAGAAATGGAATCTTGCTATTCCTCAACTAGCCAGTCTCTATAAACTGGCCGAACCTTTGATAACTGACCTTTTAGATGAAAATTATTTTTATCTATTTGATTTAAAATCTTTCTTCACCGCTAAAGCCCTAAACATGTCCATTCCTGGTGGACCCAAATTTGAGCCTCTAATCAAAGACATCAATCCAGCTGATGAAGATTGGAATGAATTTAACGATATCAATAAGATTATCATTCGACAACCAATTCGAACCGAATACCGAATTGCTTTCCCTTATTTATACAATAATCTACAACACTTGACCAACTATGTCCACCTCTCATGGTAAGTTTCAATTCAATTACTAGTAAATGAAAATATGAAATACAAACTAATTAATTGACCACAGCAATTTCAGAAGCCAATATTTTCTATTTTCTGCTTTCTGTCGATAAAAAAATACCAGTATTTGTGGTCAGATAAACCAATAGATGCGTATTGGCTCTTTGTCTGAATGATCATAATTAGCCGCTGACTCTAATTACATTTTCTCTCTTCTTTACCTTTTTCTATTTGCAGGTATCATACACCGAATGTTGTCTTTATCAAAACGGAAGATTTGGATTTACCAGCTTTCTACTTTGATCCTCTTATTAATCCAATTACCCACAGTCGAGTTTCAGTTAAAACAATTGAGCCCATTCCTGATGATGATAAATTAGACGATGATATCTTCACTTTACCTGATGATGTTGAGCCTTACATGAGTAGTTTTCCTCTTTATACAGATAACACTGCTAATGGAATCGCTCTTCTTTGGGCTCCTAGACCATATAATTTACGTTCAGGACGAACTCGTCGTGCTATCGATATTCCACTGGTCAAATCTTGGTATCTTGAACATTGTCCACCCAATATGCCGGTTAAAGTTCGAGTGTCATATCAGAAATTGTTGAAATATTTTGTCCTTAATGCACTCAAACATCGTCATCCCAAACCCCAAAAGAAAAGATATTTATTCCGTTCTTTTAAAGCAACTAAATTTTTCCAAACGACAACACTTGATTGGGTTGAAGCGGGTCTTCAAGTTTGTCGACAAGGTTACAATATGTTGAATCTCTTGATTCATCGTAAAAACCTAAACTATCTTCATCTCGACTATAATTTCAACCTTAAACCAGTTAAAACATTGACCACCAAGGAACGTAAAAAGTCAAGATTTGGTAATGCCTTCCATTTATGTCGAGAAATCCTCCGGTTAACCAAATTAGTCGTTGACAGTCACGTTCAATATCGACTGAACAACGTTGACGCCTTTCAACTGGCCGATGGTCTTCAATACATATTCGCTCATGTTGGTCAACTAACTGGAATGTATCGTTACAAGTATAAACTTATGAGACAAATCAGAATGTGTAAAGATCTCAAACATTTAATTTACTATCGATTCAACACTGGTCCAGTTGGTAAAGGTCCTGGTTGTGGATTTTGGGCTCCCGGTTGGAGAGTCTGGTTATTTTTCCTTCGAGGGATCACACCTCTACTCGAAAGATGGCTTGGTAATTTACTGTCCCGTCAATTTGAGGGTCGTCATTCAAAAGGTGTTGCAAAAACAGTAACCAAACAAAGAGTTGAAAGTCATTTCGATCTTGAGCTTCGTGCATCCGTTATGCATGATATTCTGGACATGATGCCCGAAGGTATTAAACAAAATAAAGCTCGAACAATCTTACAACATCTAAGTGAAGCCTGGAGATCATGGAAAGCAAACATTGCATGGAAAGTCCCTGGTTTACCAATACCTATCGAAGCGATGATTACTCGATATGTTAAAATGAAAGCCGATTGGTGGACCAATACCGCTCATTACAATCGTGAAAGAATCCGAAGAGGAGCGACCGTTGATAAAACTGTTTGCAAGAAAAATCTTGGTCGATTAACCCGTTTATACCTTAAAGCTGAACAAGAAAGACAACACAATTATCTTAAAGATGGTCCATATATTAGCACTGAAGAAGCTGTTGCCATTTACACGACAACAGTCAATTGGCTGGAAAGCAGACGATTCTCACCAATTCCTTTTCCACCCTTGTCTTATAAACACGATACAAAGTTACTCATTTTGGCCTTGGAACGTCTTAAAGAAGCTTATAGTGTAAAAAGTAGACTTAATCAATCACAACGTGAAGAACTTGGTCTCATTGAACAAGCTTATGATAATCCACACGAAGCCTTATCTCGTATTAAACGTCAACTGTTAACTTCAAGAGCTTTCAAAGAGGTTAGCATTGAGTTCATGGATCTTTATTCACATCTGATTCCTGTTTACGATGTTGAACCTTTGGAAAAGATTACCGATGCTTATTTAGATCAATATCTCTGGTATGAAGCGGACAAGAGACGACTGTTTCCACCTTGGATTAAACCAGCAGACTCTGAACCACCACCACTTCTGACATACAAATGGTGTCAAGGAGTTAATAATCTCAATAATGTTTGGGATACCAGTGAAGGAGAGTGTAATGTCCTTTTAGAATCTAAATTTGAAAAAATTTATGAGAAAATTGATCTCACTCTTCTTAATCGACTTCTTCGTCTTATCGTTGATCATAACATTGCCGATTATATGACAGCTAAAAATAACATCACCATAAATTACAAAGATATGAATCATACCAATTCTTATGGTATCATTAGAGGTTTACAATTTGCCTCATTCATTGTCCAATATTATGGACTGGTTCTTGACCTTCTAGTCCTTGGTTTACAACGAGCTAGTGAAATGGCTGGTCCACCACCGATGCCAAATGATTTCCTTCAATTTCAAGACACCGAAACGGAAGAAGCTCATCCAATCCGACTTTACTGTCGTTACATTGATCGTATTCACATCTTTTTCCGTTTCACTGCAGAAGAAGCTCGAGATCTTATCCAACGTTATCTCACCGAACATCCTGATCCCAATAATGAGAATATTGTTGGTTACAATAATAAAAAATGTTGGCCTCGAGATGCAAGAATGCGTCTCATGAAGCACGATGTTAATTTGGGTAGAGGTGTTTTCTGGGATATCAAGAATCGTTTACCTCGTTCGGTAACCACAGTCAATTGGGAAAACAGTTTCTGTTGTGTTTATAGTAAAGATAATCCAAATCTTTTGTTCAATATGTGTGGATTTGAATGTCGTATCTTACCAAAATGTCGTGTGATACAAGAAGAAATGTCGAGTAAAGATGGAACATGGAATCTTCAAAATGAAGTGACTAAAGAGAGAACTGCTCAGTGTTTCCTTCGAGTTGATGAAGAATCTTTACAAAGATTCCACAATCGTGTTCGACAAATTCTTATGGCTTCAGGATCTACGACTTTCACCAAGATTGTGAATAAATGGAATACCGCTCTCATCGGTTTAATGACTTACTTCCGTGAATCAGTTGTAAACACACCCGAACTTTTAGATCTTTTAGTCAAATGTGAAAACAAAATTCAAACTCGAATTAAGATTGGTTTAAATTCTAAAATGCCGAGTCGTTTCCCTCCAGTTGTTTTTTACACTCCTAAAGAACTTGGTGGACTTGGTATGCTTTCAATGGGTCATGTTCTTATCCCTCAAAGTGACCTTCGTTGGTCTAAGCAAACTGATGTTGGTATTACACATTTCCGATCCGGTATGAGTCACGATGGTGATCAAGTTATTCCAAATTTATATCGTTACATTCAACCTTGGGAGACTGAATTTATTGATTCTCAACGAGTTTGGGCTGAATATGCATTAAAACGACAAGAAGCTTTAGCACAAAATCGACGTTTAACTCTGGAAGATCTAGAAGACAGTTGGGATCGTGGTATCCCTCGTATTAATACTCTTTTCCAAAAAGATCGTCACACTTTGGCTTATGACAAAGGTTGGCGAGTTCGAACTGATTTTAAACAATATCAAGTATTGAAACAAAATCCATTTTGGTGGACTCATCAGCGACACGATGGTAAACTATGGAATCTTAACAATTATCGAACTGACATGATCCAATCTCTTGGAGGTGTTGAAGGTATTCTGGAACACACACTTTTCCGTGGTACTTATTTCCCAACCTGGGAAGGTCTTTTCTGGGAAAAAGCTAGTGGTTTCGAGGAATCAATGAAATACAAAAAACTGACCAATGCCCAAAGATCGGGTTTAAATCAAATTCCCAATCGTCGTTTTACTCTCTGGTGGTCACCAACAATCAATCGAGCCAATGTTTATGTTGGTTTCCAAGTCCAACTTGATTTAACTGGTATCTTTATGCACGGTAAAATTCCGACCCTGAAAATTTCTCTCATTCAAATTTTCCGTGCTCATTTGTGGCAAAAAATTCATGAAAGTATTGTTATGGATCTTTGTCAAGTTTTCGATCAAGAACTTGATGCACTTGAAATTGAAACTGTCCAAAAGGAAACTATTCATCCTCGTAAATCGTACAAAATGAACAGTTCATGTGCCGATATTTTACTGTTCGCTGCTTACAAGTGGAATGTTTCTCGAACTTCTCTTCTAGCTGATGCTAAGGATACGATGGACGGAACAACTACCCAAAAGTATTGGATCGATGTACAATTGCGATGGGGTGATTACGATTCTCACGATATTGAAAGATATGCTCGAGCTAAATTTTTGGATTATACCTCAGACAATATGAGTATCTATCCTTCACCTACTGGTGTCCTGATTGCAGTTGATTTGGCTTACAATTTACATTCTGCTTTCGGTAATTGGTTCCCTGGCTGTAAACCTTTGATCCAACAAGCAATGGCTAAGATAATGAAGGCCAATCCAGCGCTTTATGTTTTACGTGAAAGAATCCGTAAAGGTTTACAACTTTACTCTTCAGAACCAACTGAACCTTATCTGTCATCTCAGAATTATGGTGAACTTTTCTCTAATCAAATCATTTGGTTTGTCGATGATACAAATGTCTACAGAGTAACAATTCATAAAACTTTCGAAGGCAATCTCACCACTAAACCAATTAACGGAGCCATTTTTATCTTCAATCCAAGAACTGGACAACTCTTCCTTAAAATCATTCACACTAGTGTTTGGGCTGGTCAAAAACGTTTAGGTCAATTGGCCAAATGGAAAACAGCTGAAGAAGTCGCTGCTTTGATTAGATCACTTCCCGTTGAAGAACAACCTAAACAAATTATCGTCACTCGTAAAGGAATGCTTGACCCATTGGAGGTTAGTTAACCGTTTTGTGACAAATTATAATTACTTGAGATTTTTAATATTCCCTTTGTTTCTTTCATCTTTTTCTTTCCAAACGAGAATCAGAATCAACTCAATTTGAAATTTCCAAGTTTCTAACGGTTTTCTTTTCTTTCTTTTTCTATTTCAGGTCCATTTATTGGATTTCCCCAACATCGTAATCAAAGGTAGTGAGCTTCAATTGCCATTCCAAGCTTGTCTCAAAGTCGAAAAGTTTGGTGATCTTATTTTGAAAGCAACCGAACCTCAAATGGTTCTATTCAACCTTTATGACGATTGGCTCAAAACGATATCCTCATACACAGCTTTCTCTCGATTAATTTTGATTCTTCGAGCTCTCCATGTGAATAATGAACGAACAAAAGTTATCCTTAAGCCTGACAAAACAACAATTACAGAACCTCATCACATTTGGCCTTCATTAACCGATGAAGAATGGATTAGGATAGAAGTTCAATTGAAAGATTTAATTCTCGCTGATTATGGTAAAAAGAACAATGTAAATGTGGCCTCACTTACTCAATCCGAAATTCGTGATATCATCCTGGGTATGGAAATCTCAGCTCCATCAGCTCAACGACAACAAATCGCTGAAATTGAAAAGCAAACCAAAGAACAGTCCCAATTAACCGCAACAACAACCCGAACAGTTAACAAACATGGTGATGAGATAATTACATCAACCACAAGTAATTACGAGACTCAAACATTTGCAAGTAAAACCGAATGGAGAATTCGAGCCATTTCAGCAACCAACCTTCATCTTCGAACTCAACATATTTTTGTATCATCTGATGATGTCAAAGAAACGGGTTACACGTACATCTTACCCAAAAATATTCTTAAAAGTTTTATCATCATATCTGACTTGAGAACTCAAATTTCTGGCTATCTTTATGGTTGCTCACCTGGTGATAATCCTCAAGTTAAAGAGATACACTGTATTGTGATGCCTCCTCAATGGGGAACTCATCAAGTAGTTCATTTACCTTCACAATTACCAACAAGTGAATATATTTCTGATTTTGAACCTTTAGGCTGGATTCATACACAACCAAATGAATTACCTCAACTGTCCCCTCAAGATATTACCACTCATGCCAAAATTATGAACGACAATTCAACCTGGGACGCAGATAAGACCATAGTTATCACATGTAGTTTTACTCCTGGTTCATGTTCACTTACTGCATACAAATTGACACCAACGGGCTACGAATGGGGTCGAAATAATACCGATCGTGGTAACAATCCTAAAGGTTACCTTCCATCGCATTATGAGAAAGTTCAAATGTTACTATCAGAAAGATTCCAAGGTTTCTTCATGGTACCTGCTCAAGGATCATGGAACTATAACTTTATGGGTAAGTTTATTCATCTAAACATGTTGATTGAACTTTTTAGGCTTAACTTATTTGATTTCATACCAGAGTTAACATTGTATCAGGTTTGACAATAATTAAGCCAAAAGTAAACATCAACACATAGTGCTGATTGATTTCCTTTTTGTGTTTCAATCAGTCTCCATGTTTGCTTATATGTCTCATTAGAATTATTTTATCAGCTTTAAATTAGTAAGTTTAATTAAATTTTCTTTCTCTTTACTTCTTTAGGTGTAAGTCACAGTGCTAACATGAAGTACGATATAAAACTTGGTCGACCAAAACCTTTCTATCATGAAGCCCATCGAACAGCTCATTTCTTAAAGTTCAGTACAATCGAAGAGTCGGAAAATGTTGGCGTGGATCGGGAAAATCTATTCGCTTAATTATTAAGATCAAAACACTTGTATCACTTGTCCTGCCGGCGTATTCATAGTAAAAACTATTCGACCTATGAAAAAGATTGAAACTCCATCAAACCAAAATTAGGTGAGTGATTAACAATTATTGATATTGGCCATTTCTACAATACATAATTTAGTACTTAATTTAGTATTCACGATCAGGCCTAGATTATAATGTAAACTAGTCATAGTACTTTCTAATTAGAAGATAATTATGAAAGCCTCCAGTTTATTACTACAAAGAAATTTTCTCAAATCATTAATTAACTAATTTGCATTTTCTTTTTTTCCTTATCCACAGGTTTCTGTTTTTTTTAAAATAATTTTAAGGATCCCGGCGGAAATTTCATCTCAACACTCACCTCATTTGAAATTATTTCAATCATCTCTGTAAAAATAATCTTTATAAAAAAATACAGTTCATTGAGAAACATTAATAACACAATTAAAATTCAACTTAAAGTAAAACTATTTAACCACATTAATCAATTGCTAAATATAAACTTCGCGACATGGGTCCAATTGAAATTCCTAAAATCTGTTTTCCTGTTGATCAAACATGATCATTAATTTTTGCAATCGTTCAGACTGTTCAAAGAATCAGGATCAATTTGTCACTAATTATAACAACTTAAATTGTTACTTTTTCCAACAAACTATTGATTACCATTTAATCACAATCAAGAATCACAAGAATGTGCTGTTAATATAATTTCACGATCATTAAGTAATTTCTCCCCTTCGTATCTTTAACACAACAATTAACCGAAGAGGGTGAAAATCTACAACTAAATTAACTTTGTTCAGAGAAATGGTAAACATGAAGCTCAAACAATTAACAATTATCATCAATTTGTTTATCTTGAAAACAAAGTTAAATTGTAGGTTGATATTAATGAGAAAACTACTACATATTTTATGAGCCTATCCTCAGAAATTAAACTACCAGATTAATTGTTTCAATTAAGCTAATAATCTAAAGGGTGATACAAAAAAGCAAATCCACTGAATGGAGTTAATGAAAAAGTGTGTCAGCAAATTTACTCGTGACTGCGAAACTTGGCTTATTTGAATAACGATGGAACGGACTTTGGTACTAAAGCAAAGATGATCTAACGCAGATCTCATCATTCAGGCCACACTTTGAATAGCCAACAACCACCAACACCAACTTAACAAGAAGATAAAACTCCTATTAAATTAAAATTAATGGAGAATCAAAGTGAATCAAATCGTGATTATTTGAGTTAGAAATTAAATAAAATAAAAGTCTACAACATGGAGATGATGATGAAGATCTAGAAAGAGTGAATATACAAAAAAATAGCCTCTCCATTGAGTTGCCCGGAGGGTAAAAGGGAGAGACTGGGTTAACGTGTAATGATAATGATTATGATTCCATTTAAATGGTTGATTAGGCAAAAAGAAGTTACAATTAAAGAGAAACTAAATTAAAGCGAAATGGCTTAAACATCGTAAATCAAATTTTCAACCATAATCGTATAGAGAAAATGTAAACCAAATCAAATCAAATGAAAATCAAAGAATTAGGATTAATAATAACAATTCAAATGGAATAGGAATAAATAAATTGTTATTATTAATCAAAAAGAAAGGCAAAAAAAGTGAAATAAATTGTTAGATTATCGCTTTTTTCCTCAATCTAAATTGTAACAATTTACCGAGTCAAGTTTTTTAAACTTGAAACATTTATTATTAGTTATTTGGAGTATAAGAAAAAAAATTAACCCCTAATAATGATAAGTAATTAGTTGATTGTTAAAGAGACTTGATTAAGTTGGATGGAGATAAAAAAACTGTTTGATCAACTTAAATAGTAACTCAATGGATAATTATAATCGAGACTAAATTATCGTTCAAATTAACCGATAATATAAGTTCAAGGAGAAATTAAATTGATCAATAACAGTGATCATCTTTTTATCATTAATGTATCTCGATAATGATGAATATGATTATCGATTACATATCATGTTGAACTATCAACCTGATTGAATTTACTAAATCATCATCATGTTTACCTGGCAGACTTTCAATCTCACTGATCATCTTGTTGACACAAACTTTTATCATCATCACCATTATATTGTAAATACATAATATTGTCATCATCATGATAATCATCATGATGAAAAAAACAACAACAACAAAATCAACAACAAGTTGTTTCTGTATTTGGTCATTTGTGACAATTATCAATTGAGCAAATTTGATTATAAATTTGTGTCCTCAAAAAGTTGTCACAATCTTAATCATCAATAATTTAGGTCACTCAGTTTATCAGTAGTTAATTCAATTTAATTTTAATATCATCCACTAATCAATAATAATTTAGACGATTCATCTTGATAAGATGATGATATAATTGTAACCTCTTAATACTTGTTATTATTATCAGAATCGGGAATCTTATCTTAATTGTTGTAGCATTTAAATATTGATTTGATATTGATAATGATTTAAATCATTTCTCATCGTTATTAAAAGTAGTAAAATTGTTTAGGCTAAATTGTTACTGACAATTTACTTTTGATTCCATTTTTAATTTTTTTTTTCTTCCAATAAAACAAAAAGTTAACAATTTAATCTCATTTTACAATCAGTGACAATTAAAAATCACTCTCAGTTTGATTTCCCATTGATTAGGTTAACCGTCTTGATTCATTCACAATTAGTTTAACTTTTTATTTAATTCTCATCGATGTTAATCAATTAGTTAAGGTTTACTTTCTGATTGTAATCTGTTGTTTTTAGTTTTCTGATCGGTTTAATTAGTTAATTACATTCACTGATTTAATTAAACTTTCTCATTATTATTGAGATAAATAATCATCTTGATTGATAGTAGCCCAACACTTAAACTAAATTTAATTTATTAATTGTTAAATCATAGCTACCAAATGATAGTTTATTAATAGAAAGAATGAAGAAATTAATTAATTGCTGATCAGTTTTAACTAATCAAGTAGCTAATTGTTATAAACATTTAAAACTTTTTGTTCAATGAATATTTGGTTACTTGAGTTAATTGTTTCAATTAAATAGGATAATATTAGGATAATCAAACCATACAGAGTTAATTGTTTAATTAGTCTGAATCTCAATATGAATAAACATTCAATAATTAACTTTACTGCACTGATTAAACAATTAACAGGCTATCATTAAGTAAAGATCAACAATTTACATTTTAATTGAATGTTGATAAACATTGATTGTGTAATTAATCAATCAGAGGTAACAATTTATTTGTGTACTTTTATGAATGAATATAATTAACTATCAACAGCTGAGAAAATTAATCTTAATTGATTGTCAAGATGATTGTTAATCATTTCACGAGAAAAAGGTAAATATTTAGTTAATTTAGTTTAAGAAAAATTCAAATCATTGATTGATTAAATCTGGCACTCAAAGTTAATTGTCAATTAAAATAATGATTGAAATTTTAACTTATTAAAAATCAATTTGATTACCGTATTTGCAATTTAATCAAGAATAGTTTTAATTGTTTGACGGATTAAGGGGCTTCTCTTAATCATGGTTAAGTTAATTGTGGTAATATAAATTGGTAACAATTAAGAGACTTGAGCCTTGAACTTGGCATCATTTCGTGTTCAAAGTTAAACTTTCAGATGATTAAAAGGAGAGATTAAATTCTGATGTTATTTTAATTGTTATGCTAATTAAATCTCACGATTAGTTACTATTAACTGTACAATAATATGAAAATCATGATCTAATCATCATACTCTTTAATTACAATTAACTTAAATATCATGAGTTCCTGTTGATTATGGTTCCTGGATGATTAAACTTTTGGTCTAAAAAAAGTTATTTACATTAATCACCAAAATAATGATTAACCTAATTCAGTTACCGATGGTAAAATAACAATTAGTAAATCAGGTTGATTGTTAATTTTTTTTTTACATAAGCTTTTTACTCTTGTTTTAATTGTTTAAAATTGTTTTTTGATTAAATTAAATTGTTTGTAGTCCAAAGATCTTGATTGATGTAATACATTAATTATTAGAAGTGTATGAAAAAAAAAAGTTATTTTGATCATCAAAAAAGTTGTAAATTGTTACAATTACAGCAAAGTTGAGTTAATTGTTGTCGTTCCCTTGATATTAAATCAGGAGTGAAAAAAACAACCAATTTTGTGATTATTAATATAATAATAATTGTTGATGATCGATATTAATTGTCCCCGCCAATGAATTGATTGTAATCATCTAAAGAAGCTTATAAATTTGACCAAAGATATTATCTAATTTAAATGGTGACGAGAATGATGATTTTTTACTTGATGATGAGGATGATGGTTGATGATGATGATGCGGTGGTGGTGATAGTTGAGGTGATGGAGATGAAGATAATCCAAGACCTGAAGAAAAGTTGAAAACAAAATCAAAATTTAAGGTTAATTAGTTGATAATTGTGACCTGTAAACAAAAACAAATAACAATGTAATCCAATCTTGGTCAATGATTAGTTAATTGTTCAGCTATTTAAAGAGGTGACCACTAGTGACCCACCCAGAAAATAAGGTAAGTATTCATTTCAAAAAGTTAAATTTACTAATTGTTATCTATTAATAAACAATCCGATGATCAAGGTATCACTGATTATTTAATTTTCTTCCTATTATTTTGTTTTTCTTTCTCAATCTTATTTTGACTTGGATAAAATATTGATACACTTTATGACCTCAGGCTTTTTATTTATCAATATGATGATGATGATGATAAGTGACTGAGTGTTTCTGTTGATGTTGTTGTTGGTGATGAAGATAAAGATAGAGATGAAGATGGAGATGAGGATGAACTGAATGATATTGGCCTTGAGGATATTAATCTAATCTGGTATTTTAATACAATTAACCTTCAAAATATAATAAGAATTCCTGTTGATTGGTGATGAGGTAAGAAGAAAAAAGAGAAAATTATTATCCGAAAACTTTTTCTTTTTCTAAAATTAGAACATGATTGTAACTTTCGTTCCTTTTTCATTTATTTCCCTGATACTGATACTCATCATCTTCATAAATAAGGTGGGTGATCCGTGATAACATCATCATCCCTGGTGTAAAAGGGGAGGAGGTATAAGGTAGTCATCGAAAAGGTCAGTAGGTCTGTATATTTTGTTCCTGAACTGATTGACCCTTAGGGCAATGGTTAGAAATTCAGGTAAACAGATTCAAAAGCCATGTATTGGTTACTATTAAAATGATTACTTTTTTCATTATTTGATAATAAGTTATTATTAAAACTGAAGATGAGTGAGAGAGAGAGAGAAAACGATAAACAGGTAACCTTCTTGCTCTTTCTTTTTCTCTTTCTCTCTGGTTATCATCTGATTGAGTTCAATAATCAGATCAAGATAATATCACTTTTCATGAATAATTTTATTCCATCATCCCAACTCTCTCTCACTTCATTAATTTAAAGGTTTATAATGAATAAAGTGGAATTAAAGTTATTGAATTAGAAGAGAACGAGAAAAAAAGAGAAAACATTTTTCTCTCTAAACAGATCAATTAAATTGGATCAACATCATCAGAATTAGCATCCTCATCTTTTTTTTCTGATGATGAGAGTAGATCGACCTAAAATGATTGCATTTGTGTGAATGGGCCAAGGGGCCAATCACTGAAATCAAGGTAATAGGTTAGCAATTTAATTTTCACCCTTTTATCTTAAACAAGAAACTAATAAATAATTAATTTCTATCACTCCAACAATAACAAAATAAATATCATATCTTTTCAATCTCTCTATTTGTTTCATGGTAGAAAACAATTAACAATTAATTAGTTTCTTTTTTCAGTTACCTCAAATCATTTTGTTAATTGTAATCTTACGTGTGTGAATCTTCAGTCAGATCACTTATTTATATTCACCTTGACCAAGACAATTAATTGATGACCATTAATAATTTAACTTTTGATAAGGTTGATTAACTTACTTCCAAGTAGACCCGAACCTTTTCCGCTCGATTTAAGGACAAATTTGGCCGGAGATGAGCCCGATGCATACAACGAACTCAAGATTGACGATGCACTGAATTTACTTGGTGAACTTATCGACGATAATCCTTGTAAACCCTTGGATGAGATTAAGAAAGAAAACGGATTAAAACAATTACAATTTAATTTTCTCTTTTTCATGCACTGATTTAACAATTAACATTCAACTAAATTAACTTTAATTATGTTAACATATTTTTAAGGTTAAATCTAAATAAATGTAATCATTTGTGTCCAAAAGTTGATTGTCCTCATTCATTTTAATGTTAGTGTTTAAATTTGCCCTCTGGGCTTTTTGGTTACGATGAAATTACTTTTAATCATCATTTATGAATATTATTAATCTTAACCAATTTGCTATTGATTAGTAACAATTAATTGGTTAAATCTGAAAGTTGATCGTTAATTTTTTTTTTTTCAATTACTCTCTATGAATACAACTTGTTAGTCAATTTAATCTGATTGTTGATTAGCTGTGAACTAATTTGGTTTTAATAAATAGTTGCTAATTGTTTAGTGAAAATCGCTAAATTATTATTAATCTGTAATCACTTTGATTTGCTCAGGTATCCTAATCACTCAAAGTCAAATTAGATTATGATTTTTGTTTTATAATAAATCGTTGATGAATTAGCAAAAAATCAACAGCAACAAGTTTAATCAATCAAAAAGTTTTTTTTAATTAGCTTTAAGGTTAATCTAAATCTTGTTGATTGATTTTTGTTAACTAAAAAGTTAACAATTTAAATTTCATGTTGTTGATGTTAATTATAATCATTACGGTTGAGCTAGTTAACTGTGTATTTATCAATTTCAATTAATCAAAATGTTAATCAAAAAAAAAAAATAAAAGAAAAGATGAAAAAATTTGATGAGTCTCATTCGTTAGTTGATGTTGGTGATTAAGTTACTTGTTGATTAGATTAGGAATGAGGATCATGAGAGATTTTTTGGAAACGGATGAAGGTGAATGATTAACATGATCAACTTTATCATAATTAATTAAATCAACTAATCAACAGACTGATGAGTTGATCACGATTCTTTCTGAGCTAATTTCTTACCTTATACAATGAGAGTGGTGAGGTTACTGCAGGGAATCGTCTTGGTCTTTGTGGACGAGGTCCATTCATCATGTGCTTTGGAGGTGGTGGTGGGTGGTGGGGAGGTCTGTTGTTACCAGGTTTACCGTACATCATCCCGAAGGGTGGTGGAGGTGGAAGATGGTGACCTGGTGCTGGTGGGTAGGGTGATGGTCCACTGGTGTAGGTATTGATAACCTGGATTGGTGGTGAAGGTGGCCCAGGATAAATTGACCCTGGAATGGTTAAAGGAGATCGTGGTGGTGATGATGAAGGTGAGTAGAGTTGAGATGAAAACGATTTCATCATTGACCCATAAAGGGAAGAGAGATCAAGAGATGGACTTGAACCATAACTATCGCCATTGGATAACGATAAAGGTAAGCCAGAGGAAGAAGAAGCGGAATCAGCGGATGATGAAGGAGATAAATAAGATGATGAGAGACCCATGGAAGGAGATGAATATCCTGAATAAGATGAGACACTTTCTGGAAGAGAGACAGCATCGGAAACGGTAAAGCTCGATGGGCTGAACGAACCTGAACCCTGGTTTTTGGTCAGCGAGCTGTAAACATCACTTGATCCATAAGATGATCCAGAGGATGATGAATGAGCCACTGAGGGTGAACTTGAGAGAGAGGAAATGTCATATGGAGAGTCATTTGAAAGAGATGAGAGGACAGATGATGATGGTGATGATCCTGAGGAGCCATAAGATGAACCAGAAGACAGTGATTCATATGCTGAAGATTCGCCAAGTGAACCTAAGCCCGATGATGAGTATTTAGATGGACGAAGTGAACCTAAACCGGAAGAAGATGAATAAGATCCAGAGGAGAGAGAGGGAAGTGATGATGAATCGTAAGAGGAAAGTCCAGAGTAACTGTTGACCGGTGAATCGGATCCACTTGAGTAGGAAGATAAACTAGATGATAAACCTGAAGATAACCCGGAAGAAGATGAACCAGAATCATATTCATCCAAAGAATCTGAACTATCGTAACTGGAAAGTTTGATCTTTTTGGGTCGCTCTTTGGTCAACGATGCGTATTCTTTAAGTGAACTTAAGTCCTTTAAGTCTTTCAACGCACTACTAAAATCGCCAAGAGATTTGATGCTACCATAGTCCTTTGATCCACTTCCGTAAGAGAGGGAACTAAGTTCCTTGAGACCTTCGTAATCCTTAAGAGATGAGTAATCATTTATTACCTTAAGTCCACTTGAACCTGAGCCACTCTCATGACCACTGCCCTTGAGTGATGAACTATAGCTTGCAAGAGCGGCCTTGATCGAAGCGGTATCGGGCTTACCATCAGAATCATCACCAGAATAGGAACTTGAATCGTCAGAAGATGGTGAGTATGATGAAAGATCGTATTTCAAGTTATTAGAACCTCCTTTGATTCCACTCTTTCCTCGAGTTCGACTTTTGCCCGATTTACCTGAGAAACTTGATTGCCAATCATCTTGATCGCCATCATATGAACTTGTCAATGAGGGATAATCATTACCTCCCTTTTTATCATATGAATCGGAATCAACTGGATAAGAGGGTGACTTTGATTTAGATCCGGAATAACCTTTGGAGCCCTTTGAATAAGATGATGAGGAATCGTCTTCATCGTTATCATCATCATATGAAGATGGAACGGTGGCCGGAGGGTAAGTATCTTCCTTGTTGGAACCATAACTGTTTCCCTTATTATTATTGTAAGAATCACCTCCTTTGGAACCTTCATAATTGTCATCATCGTATCCACCATTTTCTGAAGTTGAATCTTTACCAGAATCTGATTGACTTTCATAAGATTGTGATTTACCTTTGGTACTCATATAATTTGATTCTTTCATCTGAGAGTAAGGACTATTTCCATTATATGAGGGACCTTTGCTTGAGTATTCATCTTTTTGTTGGTTATCATATTGACTGGAGTCCCTGTTGTAAGAGGAACCCTTAACACCAGAAGATGAGGATGGAGAGGAAGATGATGAAGGTGAGTAACTTTGAGAGTTTGAATTTTCATATGATTGAGAATTGTAAACGGGTTGAGCTCGATATTCATTGTTTTTCTGTTCACTGGCACCGTTGTTTCCCTCATAAGGACGAGGTGCGGGGTAGTTCGTGGTAGCGTAATTAATACTTGGCCCTGGGCCAGCGTAGCTTTGCTGTTGCTGTTGCTGTTGTTGTTGTTGTTGAGGTTGTTGAACCTGTTGCTGTTGCTGTTGTTGTTTGTCTTCTGGGCATAGGATAGACAGAAAAACGGAAAATAAGATAACAGGTAACGGAAAAATGGACTTAGTTTCAAATTATAAAGAATCAGTGAAAAATTACTCACCATAACCTCCCTTGTTTTCTGGCACTTGAAGAGCTAATTTAACGGGAATCGCAAGAATAACGGTTTTCTTGGGGCCATTTTGATTACCTTGAGCGTTCGGTGTGGCAGTTGGTCCATTATAAGCACCATTATCAACAACTGCACCATAATTAAGTTGAGTTTGCTGAATTTGTTGTTGTTGAGGTTGAATTTGTTGCTGTGGTTGTTGTGGTTCATAACTGACCTGTTGTTGCATTTGCTGTTGTGGCTGTTGTTGTTGTTGTTGTTGTTGTTGATGCTGTTGCTGTTGTTGGGGTTGTGATTGTGATTGTGATTGTTGACCATAATTCAACAATTGATAAATTGGCTGTAAAGTTTGTTGAAGAGCTTGAGTTAATTGTGGCTGATATTGTTGCACTTGAATCTGTGGTGGTGCTTGTTGAACTAAACCATAATTGTTGTTACTGATATAACCCTGTTTCTGTTGTTGATCAGCAGCACTCATCGGTCCGGCATTATTTCCGTACGAACCAGCGACACTATTGACCACTGGCCCATTGGAATAAGCGACTTGTTGATATTGAGCAGCACTTTGAAGCTCATCTAAACCAGAGGTTGGTGCTGAGGGTACTGGTGGTGAAGATCCGGTTGCAGCGGTCGCTACAAGAGTCGCTGATGCGGTGGGTGAAGAAGATTGTCCATAAGGTAAGGCCACTGAATATCCAGAATTAATTGAATCAGTAAATTCCTTTGATTGTACAACAGCAAAAGTTAAACTAGAGACTAGAAAACAGAACAAAGTTTTTGTCTATTCGACGAAGAAAAATATTCAAAGAAAGAAATTCAATTAACACTCTAATGATTACTTTTAAGGAATATTAAAATTTAATTCAGTTCGTGAGGTGCAACACGCTAATAATCAATCGTTAATCAGTGAAAATTAAAACTTCTAATTATCAACAATCAACAAATTGAGGGGAAAAAGTTTGATCAACTTACCATTGTGGGCTTATCTTTGCCCATTTTGTTTGTTTCACAATTGATTAGTTATTGTTGGTGGTAAATTAAAAGTAAGGGTAGAGTTAATTGTTTAGAATTAACTGGAGAAAAATGAAATATAGAAACAATTTAAATTACTTTTGATTGGTTTTGGTGAATAAAAATTGAGAAAAAAAAAGTTCTGATGAAATTCTGACCTTTCCAAGTTCACTCATAGGTTTCAAATGAGTATCTTTTTACATTTAACCTACGATTTTATATCAGATTATTTTGAGAATTTATTTCATCTTCTTTTCTCTCTCTTTCTCTCTATCATCCTCTCGGTCACTCATCTCACTGACCCACTCACCTTAAACTTGAGGGCTTACCTTCTCTTTCTCATCTTCTCTTTAAAAAGATACAGTTACTTTTCTAGAGGGAAGAAAACGAAATAAAAATAAAGAGAGAGAGAGAGAAACATGTATTTAGAAAGAAAGAGGAGGAGATGAGGATGATGAATGAAGAAGATGCGGATGCTAATGGGGAGATAATCTGGTCAACGATCTTCTCTCATCATCTTAATCATTTACATGTTAAAAGAAACATTAATGGACATATTGACGAAATACCAACGGAACTGTTGAAATGAACAAATTGCTCTTCTAGTAATTGATTAATCGCAATTTACTTGATTATCTGAGAAGCTAAATTCGTAATTGCAAAAGATTAACTTGATTAAGTTTTGGATAATTGAGCCAAAAGTTACAAAACTTTTTTATCATTTGGCAATAATTATTGGATAATTAGAGTGATAATAATTGTAATAAATTATGATTTGGATCTCGAGATGGTTAGAGATTGTATATGTACTAGTTGATTAGTTAATTATTGGCAATTGAAATTATTTTGATAATATCTCATAGATCCAAGAGTTGATTGATATTGTTATTAATCAACTATTGTGATAACATATTAAATTAAACATTGAAACAATTAATACAATTTAACCAAAGATTCTTGATAAATCTCAAGTTGCTTTCAAATACACGGTTGATTTCAATACTCTTTCAATTGAATCCACCAGATAATCAATAATAATAAGTAATTGAAACATAATTAACACAAATCTTAACTGAATCAAATCAGAACTTTCCCTCTCAAATGGTTGATTACAATTAACTCTCAACAATCAAAAATCATTGAGCAACATTGAAGAGTCATCTTAAGAATCAAGGTTATTAAGGAGGTTTATCAATCAATAGACTTAAACAAACAAAAAGAAAACAAATTGGAAACAATTAGAAAATTAATTAATCACAAATTAGAAACAAATTAATTAATTGCAAAGGTAAAAACATTGAATTGGAAAGTGAATCAAAATTTATTCAAACAAAAGATTAACAATCAACTGCGCCATCTGATTTTCTTAAATCAAATCAAAAGTCAAATGATTAATTAAATTTTCCAGCAATTAATTTGCTACACAAATTAATTTCAATAATGATTGGTCATTGATTAGAAATTGAATCTTTCAAGGTTCTACTTCAATTCATTTAGTTACTTGATTGATTGGTTTGATTTAATCGTTAGTAACAATGATTGGCAATCAGAAAGAGTCAAGGAAATGATTTACATCAATTGTGATTAAATTAATTGTTGTTCATTTTTATTTGGTGATTAACTTTCATTTTTGATTGTTATTTAAGTTAGAAAAGCAAATGATTGATATAAAAAAAACAACGATTTGAATCAATCAATTGTTAAATTGGTGTTGTCGTTCATCAATTGATAACATTTAAAGATCAAATTGATTGACTTAATTGTCTTACAGAATTTAAGAAATAACAATTAATGTTGACTATTTGTTGGAAATTGTGAAAAGTAATAAAACTATTAATTGATAAGTTTCTGGGGTTAACAAGGTGTATCTTCAATGAAGACTAATAGCAGTTGATTTAATTATCGAGAGTTAATTGTTCTTCTCCATGAGTCCAAGTAAATTGTTATTGATTTGATTGTTGGTTGATTGATTTTCCTCTGGCTTTGTGATTTTTTACACAACGGTAATGGTTTTATATAAATTGTGTTAAACAAAATCTTAATTTTCCATTGTAATTGTTGATGAAGGAAAGTTAATCATGTAACAATAAACTTATCGCTCGCGTGTGAGAGCAATCAACTAATTACCTTTGTATTAATTGTTTATTTGTTTGTATTTTATTTCAGATACACTTTATATAATTAAAGTTACTTTTTTTTACCAATGATGATTACAAGATGATGATTTAAACTTAATTGGCTTTGAAACTATTGAAGACGAAATTAAATTGTTCCAGAATTTTCCTCTTGGTGTGATTTGTAGTTAAATCTAATTTGATTTTGATTAGATGAACTTGAATATTTACAGGTTTTTGAATTCTTTCAAATGATTATCAAGTTTTTTTTCCTTATTCTTTTTTAAAGTAGATTAATCTGATTTACAGATAAGATGAGATGTAGATTCTGCACAATGGATCCCGCAATTGTAATTAAATTAACAGATTATATAACATGAATCGATGGCGATGCGATTTGTATTTTCCATAGTTAATGAAAATAGATGAAGACACAGCAAGAAAACATAATGATAAAAATCAATGTGGGTGGATTAACGGGAACATCGGTAAGCAAGGTCGGTATCGATATCCAATAGGCCAGGCTTTGGATTAAGATTAAATCGTATAGCTCATTTGATTGCACTGAATTTGTTGTAAACCAAGAATCAAATGCTCGAGAGAGAGAGAGAGTTAATACAAAAAAAAGCATCGCTGTGACGGTAGACGATAATTAAGATATTTACATCTTTGTTTATATCATGCATGTGATTTCTTGGTGTGTTTTTTGTTTCTTTATCCTGGGGCAATGGGATAAGCTGAAAGTTTCTTGGTAAGAGTTTGTATTTATGGATTCAGCTGATAAAAAGGAAGTAAAAAAAAATAATTAACAGTTTTCTCTGCGTCCATTTTATCCCAGTTTTCTTTTAAATCTATCGAAAATTGCTCTCCAAATACTTCCAGGAATTCGCTGATTATCACGGATTAATTTTTCTATGGCTTCCGATGTTAGGGTTGCAAGTTCCTCTGGTGTTCTATCGGGATGATATGGTATTGGTTCACCGATTATTGTTGTCATTTTAACCGGAAATCCACCATAAATAGGAACCATGGGTAACCTTGTTTTATCATAAATCTTTTCAAACCAACTTTGCCCTATGGTAACTGATCTAAAGGCCTCACGTAGATTAACAGTAAAAACAGGTACAATTGGTGCTTGAGCTGCAATGGCAACTTTGGCGAAACCAATTCTATTACCCCAAACCAATTTGTACCTATTATCACCGAATTGAGCCTCACGAACACCACCCGGTGCAATTGACAACAGGTCACCTCTTTGTAATACTTGGGTACAGGTTTTTAAAGTTCCAGGGAAAACATGGAAAACCTCCATCATCAACTTCCAACCAGGAATACTGAATAAGAATTTATCACCAACAGCCTTGATTAACCTTTTCTTTTTAAGAATTGTTTTCGCCATTAGGTAGTAATAGTCTAAGGGAAGGGCACCATGATAGTAGACAATTAAGGCAGGTCCAGTATCGGGTATATTGTGTAATCCTTTAACCTCATAACCATGATAAATCCAACCATGGGCATCCCAAACGGTTGCGATTGCTTGACGTGCACCTTGCCAATAATCACCAGCACGAACAGCCTCCTTGATTTCAGTAATACGATAACGATGCCGGTAAACGTGTAAAAATAAAGCTGAACTATAGCAAAGTATGAGTATTGTCAATGGTAATAGGAAACTGATAAATATTGGACTCAACAACCAGACCAACCATCTTAGATAATCAATGTCAACAAATGTACTATTAAAAGCAAACAAGCTCATTTCTATTGACACAATTAGAAGACACCACAATCATCAGGTAGATCACCACAATAGAAAAACAAAGCCTTTAGGTTAATGCTATTTTCCCAAATATTAACTTGAATTTAACAACCAAACAGGATAACTGATTGAGTGGAATAATTTTTCCACCACCAAATGAAGAGATGAAATTGGTAACACTGATGAACATAAAACAGTTTAGATGGTGAAGAAAATATTATGATGTAAACAAGGAAAATCCGAGTTCTATTTGTTGAATCTAAGTAGACAAAAGAAAAGAAGATGAAGAAAATTAATAATCAAATAGGATTAAATTTGATTTAGAATTGACATCAACACAAATTAAGATATTCACATAACAGAATACAAGGTGATCAATGTAAAAATAGAATCAAAAGTACAAAGAGAAACCTTTTTCTCTTTTTTTCTCATTTTTTTTTCTCTTCTCAATTTAAATTAACACTAATTACATGAGAAGAAACCAAAAGACAAAACAATTAAGATTCTTAAATTCTAATAAAGAAAATACACTTACCTTTATGTTATTAGAATGTAAACATTTTCAAGAGTAAAAAAGGTAAACATTAAAAACGAATAGAAAAAAAAACCAAAAGAAGAAAAAACAACAACAACAACAAAGAGAATAGAAAATCAAATGGAAAAAGAAGAAAACACTAAATAGAATATTTATTCTCTATTGGTGGTTAATTAGAGTGAATTTGAATTATGATTAAAAGAATTACTCATTAATTTGAAATTCTCTTTCACTGTAATGAGAATATGGAAAAACTAGTAGAGTAACAATGTTTTTTCAGTTGCTGATTCCAAGAGAAACATCAACAATAACACTAACCATCATTTCAGGTTTTCTCTCTCTCATCATCCTTACCTTCATCTTCTCTTTCTTTTCTTTCTTTTCTGTTCCTCTCTCTCTCTCTCACTCTCTCTCTCTCTCCCTGAGATGTTCTTACTCCTTTAATCTCTTATCAACTGAATTAATTTCAAGTTATCTGATCTCTCTTGTAATTGAGCCTTTCAACTGTAGTTCAAAGATGTTCCTCTTCACTGATCGACAACTTTTCTAATCATCTTGGTAACTTTTTGTTTGATTACCTTAATTGTTGCCGATCAACAGATTTACAATTTAATTCTCGATTTAATAATAACTTTTGGGAAACATTTTCAATTGCTTATATTACATTGGATTCTTTATACTGTATAATCTGATTGATTTTATGAATTATTTTCCACCGTAATTATCATTGGTTTAGATAATCAAATTGTCTAGTTGACAATTTGATCATTTTTTTGGTTTTTTTTTTCGTTGTGATTTGATTTGGAAAACTGATTAATGAGGTTTTTTTATGTATTAATAGTAAGTTGAATTGTCTGTAATTAAGGAAAAATATCAACTTGATAATCAATTAGTACCTTTAGTTGATCAGTTGTAATTGTAATTTTGTGGACCTTGATTACGCTTTTGTGAAGTTAATCATTTTTCAAGGCTTAATCACACACCTCGTCCTCCTCTTTTAATTGTGATGATTGTTGATGATGATTAACAATGAGAATTAATAATAAACCATCATTGAGAAACTTATGGAAAATCATATTAATTATCAACAATTAGCTTAAAACAATCAATTTTTTTCTCTCTTGAATCAACAACCTTATCCTTCAATACACTCGATGCTAACAAAATAATCACAAATTTAACTTAAATCATCAACAATTAACTTAGAAAGGTAATACATTTGATTATCACAGTGAATTATTTGTGAAAAATATTGAAAATTGATCATAATCAGAGTGTTAATTAAATTATTGTAATGATGCCAATAAGTTGATTCTTTCTATTAATTGTTAATTGTTGGAGTTTTATTCATTTGAACAATTAATTTCTTCGTATTTTTTAATGATTCGTTTTAATCAGTAGTTTGATTTGATTAGAAAATCTTTCTTTCTTAACTAAATTATTACTATAACCAGGAAATTTTGCTGATTTTTTTATCAAAGAATTAAATTAAATTCTAATAATTGTGAGTATTAATAGTTAATATTTGCTTGATTTTCCAAATTAAGTTGAATTTCTTTCCTTAATCATTATTAGTACAGTTCTTGATTATGGTTGTTTAGTTTTGATTGTTATGAATTTTTGATTACCATTGAAAATGAATAATTTGCTACGATTACAATTAACATACCTTATTGATTGTTATGTGTTGATTATCTGAATTTGGTTTAAGTTATGTTTTCCTGTTTACAACAATTTAAAATCAAGAATTTGATTGTCAATTAATATTCATCTCAGTTCGAGGATGAAAAATCATCATATAATCAGATTCAATTTTACTTAATTGTAATTTACTTTTTTTTCTTGATGAGGACAATTGATAAACTAATTTCAAATTTGAGTTGTTGTTAATCGGTCTGATTGTTACAATTTAGTTACATTCAAGTTAATGACTTAACCAATTTCAGAAATTATCTAACAAACATAAGCCAAAAAGGTTATTCAAACAAATCGCAAATTTCGTTTTCTGTTTAAATCCGAATCTGGATGTGATAATCTTTTCTTTTCTCAAAAGCTAATTAAAAGCTTTCGATTAATTGATTTTTTGATTTTTTTAAATTCCAACTTTTTCGAGAGACTTTAAGAGAAGCGCTTTTCTATATTTTCTTTCTAAATCAATAGATGGCGTTTACTGTAAGAACTTCCTTATGATAGGAAACGGAAGTAAAAATGAAAAATGTTGTTAGTGAAGTTTTTTAATAAGTTAGTTAATTTGTGTTGATCTGTAATTAGTTAATCATGGGTAAGTTGATTGTTATTCTTATATTTAGTGACTTATTGTGACTCTGTCCATCTTTTGATGCATCGGATGAGTATTTACTGTTGTTATAATGTCTTTTTTAATGTGTTGTTTTTGGGTTAAGGTATTTCAAGGGATCATTGGCATAAGCGACGTGCTACCGGTGGTAGACGAGCTCCAATTCGGAAAAAGAGGAAGTTTGAGCTCGGAAGACCGGCAGCTATGACCAAGGTTTGTATTGACCATCATGACATTGAGTTGTTCAATTAATTCTGTTCCCAAAAATCTAATTTAATGTTTTTTGTTTCTATTTCTATTTCTATTTCTATTCCTATTAGATTGGTGCTAAGCGTATCCATTTAGTAAGAGCTAGAGGAGGTTCTTTCAAATATCGGGCTCTTAGATTAGATCATGGTAACTTTGCTTGGGCTTCAGAAAGGACTACACGTAAAACTCGTGTAATTGATGTAGTTTATAATGCCAGTAACAATGAATTGGTTCGAACCAAGACATTGGTAAAGAATTGTATTGTTCTTATTGATGCTACACCTTTTCGTCTATGGTATGAACAACATTATGCTGTTCCATTAGCAAAGAAAAAATCACCAAAAGCTTTGGTAAGTAATCAAGATGAACAATAATTCAAATCAAATTAGTAATGATGATTTAATGATTCACCATCTTTCGACTGAAAACAATGTGTGGAGAAAAAATTAATACTTCTGATTGATAATGATGAATTTATATTCTTTCAATATAACCTTATTTTACATTTTCTAATCATTGTTTTTCTTTCTCTTTCTCTTTCTCTTTCTTCCTTTTTCTTATAATATTGTATTCAACAGGCTGAAGCCACTGATGCTTTGAAAAAGGACAAAAGTAAACGTGTCCTGAGGAAATATAAATTAAGACAAAAGTTATCTAAAATTGACCCTGCATTGGAAGATCAGTTCCAAACTGGACGTTTATTAGGTAATTATCTTGATCTATTTGTCATATACTTTTGACCCTTTTGTTACCATTACTATTTGTTGTATTGTGTATACATGATGAAAACGAACTCTCTCACAGAAAACATGACATTTTGTCTTGTTTATCGTGTTGATGACTCAGTTACTCTGATTCCTTTCCATTCTACAAAGCCACTATTTTAGAGTAAATTCAATCTTTTCTAACTTTTGTTTTTATCTTCTCTCTTTCAGGTAATATCTCGTCACACTTAACTCATCACATTCTAAAATTTTTCTTATGATGAAAAATACATTATTTTGTTGAAAATAAGTCTTTAATGCCTTATCTCCATGACGCACCATAGTTACTCTGATTATCCATCAGAAGATCTCAAACATCCTTCTAGTTTTTCCAATTTAACTAATGTTTTCTTTTATTTTCTCCATTTCCATAGCTTGTTTATCATCAAGACCAGGTCAAGTTGGAAGATGTGACGGGTATATTCTGGAAGGAAAAGAACTTGAATTTTACCTTAGAAAAATCAAAGCTAAAAAGGGAAAGTAAATTAAAATGTAACCTTTTTTTGGATTTAATAAAAGACCACATCGGATACACAAAACTGTCATTCAAGTGACTTTTTCCTTAAATTCTACGCATTAATCATAAGCGGTGACATTTGGGCTCTCCACTGCATTCACAATCAAATCCGTTTCGTTTATCGGTCCTAATTTTATTACTCGAAATTAAATTCACTCATGATCATCAGTTATCTAAATTTATTTTTATGGTTTCATATTCATCTCATCAACCTAAGATGCGAGTCATTCTTGCCTGGGAACCCCAGCGATTAGTAAATTACATATGAGTCCATCAATCAAAATCAACTGATCAGTTATCAAATTGATGCAGGATGAACCTGAATAATCATTGAACTAGTGGTATTCATCAGAGGATGAATGTTATCCTGAAAAGAGAAAGGATAAGATATTTACCTTGTATGTACTTTAAACTTGATTTCTCAACAATTAAAGCGTGAATGATGTTTAAGTATAAAAATTTCGATGAGAAAAAAAATTCTCCGAATTATGGTTATGAAATGATCACACCGAGTGAACAAAGAGAAGATGAAAATTCTTGATTGATTCAAGCCTCATGGTGAATAAAAAACGTTGCTCTGGGTCATTGAATTTAGATGATCAACCGGTGGAGAAAAAAAAGTTTGCCTTTTAATATTTTTCTCCTTTCTGAGTTCATCTACTTGAATTTTGTTCATCAGGGCGATTTATCTTCATCTTCATCATGATAAAAATCCAGTGTGAAAGTGAGAAGGTGAATCCGGTTTAACTAGAAATCATTTGATTTCTAAATCAGTTTTCATCAATTGGATCAACTTTTCTCATTCTTACTTAGGATCTTCAATAGTATTGGTTGATATTCATTTTTGTGTAATTTTCATATCTCCAATTGTGCTAATCAAAATGTTCTCTCAGCTCTTTATATCGCTTTTATTTTTCTTCTCATTTGTCAATTGTCTTGTTAATTGTCAAGAATTAAATGACACAACTAAACCATCTTGTTTGTGTTCAGATAAATTCGGTTATGTGAGATTGTCCTGTCGTGATAGTCTTGATGATGTTCCAGATTTAAATGAAACAATTACCGGTAAGTTTCTAATATTTCGACTGATACAATTAATAAATTACATCGATAGAAAATTGAACAATTAAAATGCAAAAATAACTGTTAACACTGATTCTTAATAACTAATTGACTCTTGTTACTCTAATCAAATTCAATCGAATGTTATTGGAATTGGTTCTATTAATAATTTGTTGATCGTTTGATTGTTTTCCCGTTCTCACAGGAATGGACTTATTAACTAATTTCTGTAGTGATGTTTCATTTTATACTCCTCGAAAATTGGAAATATCTTTCGGCAGTGGGTCCGTTCATTTATCTGATCACGTATTTCAAAATGTACCAAACCTTTCATCGGCCAAAATTGCGTTCACCGATATGAAGCAAGTATCCTGTGGCCTATTGGCCAACCTCCGTCAATTAGAAAGCCTTGAACTTTGGTACAATAAGATTAACGATATTTGTGAACAAGCATTTCAAGATTTGGAATCAGTTGTTTCGATAACACTTTCAGGTAACCAATTAGATGCTATTCCTGACAGAGTGTTCAGAGGTTTACGAACTCTTTCCATACTTGACCTCGACTCGAATCAGATAAAATACTTGAGTCCACAATCATTTGACGGACTATCAGGACTTTCATTCTTAAACCTTGGCCGAAATTCACTTAACTTTATCCCCTGTCAAACATTCACTAATCTGAAAAATCTAAAGGAATTGAAATTATCGTCAAACAAAATCTCAGAAATTTGTGCCTCCGGTTTTGAAGGTTTATCTACAATTGAATCACTTGATCTGAACGATAATGCTTTATTTGATGTTCCCAGTGGTCAAGTGTCATCACTGACCACCCTGAAAACCCTGGAATTAGCCTCGAATCGTTTTGAAAAGATTGATAATAAAGCATTTGAAAACCTGATGAATCTGAGGGAACTTAATTTAGCCAATAATAAGATCAAAACAATTGATTCAGATGCTTTCCAAGATCTAATTAGATTGGAGAAATTAGATTTAGCCGATAATGCAATCCAGGTAATACAATCAACAACCTACAAGAGGCTACAGAGTGTCCGTTCACTGTCCTTCAAATCAAATAAGGTTGAGTACATTGAGCCCAATGCATTTGATAAATTAACTAAACTGGAAGAACTGGATTTAAGTCACAACAATTTAACTACGGTAACTGGGGAAACATTTACTGGTTTATATCTTTTACGATCAGTTACATTGGAAGGTAATAAAATTAATCGAATCACGGGAGAAGCTTTTGTTGGACTTCATTCGGTTCGAAACTTAAATTTGGCCCACAATCAGTTGTCGTCAATTCCTCGAGGTGTATTCAAGGGTCTTCGTGATCTAAACGACCTACAGGTAAACAATAATCGAATCAAATTGATTGAAGGTGGAGCATTTGAAGAATTGTCTTCACTTAATCAACTTGGTCTTCATCATAATGAGATACTTGATTTAGATGAGACAACATTTGAAGGATTAACTAATTTACATTCTCTTAATCTAAGAGGTAATTCACTTCATTCACTCAAATCATCGGCACTTCGTAATCTATTTAATCTACAAAAGCTTGACATCTCCTCGAACTTGATTAATGTTCTAATGGAAAAATCATTCGTTGGTAATCCTAATCTTCTTGATCTTGATCTGTCACAAAATTATCTCTACTCTCTGTCCAAACAATCATTCACTGGACTTAATTACTTGGAATCATTGAACCTTTATCGAAACAAATTGTCTCTCATATCGAAAGATATGTTCACAGAGTTACCACAATTAAAGTTTCTCCATCTTCACAATAACGATATCAAACAAATTCAGGACAACAGTTTTGCTAAACTTCCTAATCTGGAAAATCTTAACCTCCAAATGAATTCATTGTCCTACCTAACGGGTGGCACTTTTTACATCAAAATCTACACCAAACAAACACCAGTAACAATCAATTTGAAACTTAATCACATTCGATCGGAAAACATTGCCTCTGATGGTTTTGCTAAGCCCAATTCAAGGAAATTGGTCCTCGAATTACAGAAAAATTTCCTCACTTATGTTCCCGAAAAGCCGTTCAAAGATTTCCTATTAGCTAACAATACACTTAAGATCACTGATTTCACGTTCTCTTATCAGAATCCAATTAATTGTCGAAGTCCACTTAATCAATGGTGGATCACGTCCAGACGATTGTATCCCGATCAATTTGAATACTTTGGGTGTAAATGATCAATAAATTTGATCCACTTTTTTATTTCATTACTACCTGATGAAGAGTCAATTTGATTGGAGACGTTGGAACAATTAATAACCACTTAATTGTAAACTAATCACCGTTACCATTTATTTATTTGTACTTTGAATTTACTGATTTCACAAAATCAGAACACTTTTGTACCTCTTTCAATCAATTCACTAATAAAAATTAATTTAAATTCTAATCAATTTCTTTTGAATTTTACGAATCGTCGAAATTTCTATAGCTACATAAATTTATTAGTTAATAAATTTATAATTCAAATGATTTTATTAGGATAATTGATTAGAATTGTGAATAACAAGTTTGAATGAAATTCTTTTCGCGGTTAAACTGTTCCCAATCTCTTTTTACCGGAGGAAAAAGAGGGCGCGTTGATCGCTATTCATTTTCACGCGTTGGCGTTTTGATTGTGAATAGAAATGAATCTTTAATTGTTTCCTTAATTCAGTTAATTTTTTTACAGGTTTTTTGGTCTAATAGTTACACTACAATCATGGGTAAGTCTAAATGATCTGATATTCGCAATCAGGATTCTTTAATTTCATTCGAATTCTATGTAAGGTTTTGTCTCCATGACACATTTTCTCAACATGGTTTTGTTTCCTATTCCTTTTGTTTTTGGGTTAAGGTATTTCAAGGGATCATTGGCATAAGCGACGTGCTACCGGTGGTAGACGAGCTCCAATTCGGAAAAAGAGGAAGTTTGAGCTCGGAAGACCGGCAGCTATGACCAAGGTTTGTATTGACCATCATGACATTGAGTTGTTCAATTAATTCTGTTCCCAAAAATCTAATTTAATGTTTTTTGTTTCTATTTCTATTTCTATTTCTATTCCTATTAGATTGGTGCTAAGCGTATCCATTTAGTAAGAGCTAGAGGAGGTTCTTTCAAATATCGGGCTCTTAGATTAGATCATGGTAACTTTGCTTGGGCTTCAGAAAGGACTACACGTAAAACTCGTGTAATTGATGTAGTTTATAATGCCAGTAACAATGAATTGGTTCGAACCAAGACATTGGTAAAGAATTGTATTGTTCTTATTGATGCTACACCTTTTCGTCTATGGTATGAACAACATTATGCTGTTCCATTAGCAAAGAAAAAATCACCAAAAGCTTTGGTAAGTAATCAAGATGAACAATAATTCAAATCAAATTAGTAATGATGATTTAATGATTCACCATCTTTCGACTGAAAACAATGTGTGGAGAAAAAATTAATACTTCTGATTGATAATGATGAATTTATATTCTTTCAATATAACCTTATTTTACATTTTCTAATCATTGTTTTTCTTTCTCTTTCTCTTTCTCTTTCTTCCTTTTTCTTATAATATTGTATTCAACAGGCTGAAGCCACTGATGCTTTGAAAAAGGACAAAAGTAAACGTGTCCTGAGGAAATATAAATTAAGACAAAAGTTATCTAAAATTGACCCTGCATTGGAAGATCAGTTCCAAACTGGACGTTTATTAGGTAATTATCTTGATCTATTTGTCATATACTTTTGACCCTTTTGTTACCATTACTATTTGTTGTATTGTGTATACATGATGAAAACGAACTCTCTCACAGAAAACATGACATTTTGTCTTGTTTATCGTGTTGATGACTCAGTTACTCTGATTCCTTTCCATTCTACAAAGCCACTATTTTAGAGTAAATTCAATCTTTTCTAACTTTTGTTTTTATCTTCTCTCTTTCAGGTAATATCTCGTCACACTTAACTCATCACATTCTAAAATTTTTCTTATGATGAAAAATACATTATTTTGTTGAAAATAAGTCTTTAATGCCTTATCTCCATGACGCACCATAGTTACTCTGATTATCCATCGGAAGATCTCAAACATCCTTCTAGTTTTTCCAATTTAACTAATGTTTTCTTTTATTTTCTCCATTTCCATAGCTTGTTTATCATCAAGACCAGGTCAAGTTGGAAGATGTGACGGGTATATTCTGGAAGGAAAAGAACTTGAATTTTACCTCAGAAAAATCAAAGCAAAAAAGGGAAAGTAAACTAAAAGTGTAAAACTTTTCTCATGCAAATAAATTAATTCTTGTACTCATATATACTCTTCCTAATGTGATCTTTCCTGTTACAACAACTAAAAATGTCGTCCAACGATAATCCAGTAAACATGTCGATTTATTTTCATTAAGAAATATCAAACTTGAGTAATTGAGTCTTCTATTCAGGTACAAAGGAATATTTTTTTCTTTACAAAAAATTTTTGGTCTTGAGTTTTAAATTGTAAATAATTAAGAATTAATTATGAGACAAATTGAAAGTGAAGTTAAAAACAATGAAAAAGATGCACTAATAGTCCAACTATTAGAGGCAAACGATGGCAACAATGAGAAATCATCAAGAACAAAAATCTTTCCCCCCATATTTCGTTGTGTGAAACTCTGGTAATAAACTACATCGGGTGTACTCGAGTTCGGTGTCCATTGGAGTAAACCGCCACTTCCGGTTTCACAAGTATAATTGAGTTTATTTCTAAACTGTATGAAAGTGTGAAAATTATCCGATTTTCTTGCATCCATCGAATTGGGATAATCCCATAGACAAAGTCGACCCGAAGCCGTTGGCGTTGGTCTACCCTTGCGATCGTATTCAATTCCAGCATAAACATGGCGTCTCTTTCTATCTTCTTCCTTCATCTTATCTAATCCACCCATTGGATCATCTGTTATATAAAGCGGATGATAATAGCGAGCATTATGAGGATTACTACCGCCTTCAACTCTGAACAAATAAGTTCGTCCTCGTTTAACAAACAATGTCGGTGCCATGAGTCCATTTATGTACCAAACGAGACCAGGTGATGTCGCTCCGGTTAAACTGGCATGACCTCGAATACCACCGGGGACACCAAGCCGAGCATAGAAAGTGGTTAAACTTTGGTTGAAAACACGTAAAGGTCCCCATGACTTTCTTTTGGCCAAACTGCTGACCGAATGTGGGGATTTCTCCGATGTTCTGGTAAAATCGTGACAGTTTCGAACTGCTGGTTTACGGCCGAAATCAATTTTTATCGTTCCTTTTGGATAAAGATAATGAATCCGAGGTTCTTTCAGTGTATTTAGTTTACCGATGGCCCATATTACCGATTGGAGTCCACTCTTCTCATAAACCATATCACCTTCGTCTCCTGTGTTTTTTTGTTCGCAAGGAAAAATAATCGTCAAATTTTTCGACTAATTCGTAGCTAATAAGTCGATATTTACATACCTGTGTTGATCAAGTTCCTTCGATAGACAATTTTCGTAATACCTTCTTCTCGAACGTAAGTGTGGATCTGAAAATTTTCGACACCACCGACTTTCGAATCAGGACAAATACCTTTATGTAGTCCTAGAACATTAGTACACTGAACATAACGCAAAGAGAAAGTTTTGGTTAGAATCAGTTCAAAGGTCGAATTAGTTTTTCTTAATTTCTTACCGGATATTTTTCCGTTAAATTGTAATCATCTGTCTTTCCAAAGTGACCATCGATATAAGAAATGGCCACATCAGAGCCGATCATTTGAGTTCTGTTTGGTGATCCACTTAAACCAAAAGCAATATAATCATTTGAATCAATTTGACCTGCGACCTCGAATGTTATTTGTGGTCCAAAAATTTCCCAATTAATTTGTAATTTACGGTGAAGTTGTTCACAGTTCGGTAAACGAGAGACGTGTTTCTATATGAAAGGATATCGATATCAAAGAACAATTAGTTAATTGCTTAAAGTGAAAAGATTTACTTACAATTATGGTGGTTAATGATGGAGGAATATTGAGATTATCGGGAATTATCACTGATCCATAGTTTCTCTCAGTTTCACTATTCCAAACGGCGATCCAATCAATCTCGAAGACGGTAATGGCTCCTGGTAGTTCGATGATCAGTTCTTCATTTTTATAAGGTCCAAGTGATTCCAAACTTTGTTAGAATTTAATTGTAGAGCAAGGAAGTTTAATATTCGATAAGTTGAATTGAATGAGCAAATTGAATTAATTAGGAATTGAAGCACTTACTATCCTTGTTCATTTGGAATCTTTCGGCCTGAAGAATGGGGTTGAGGGCCATCACCAACCCAGAAGAAGGTGTTTTGTGACCGACCATCGTAATTGAAATCGGGAATCAAAATAGTCTTAGAATCGAGTATAACAACAGGACCCGATTGGACACCATGGTCGATCCTGGAAAATTCTGAGATTCTTTGAGGGGAAGGAGGTTCAAAACCCTCGGGAATATAAATGTCGGCTAAATTACGACGATCGCGAATGTCCCAAACAGCGAGCCATTTAATACTTTTGAGCTTCTTATCCTCTGGAAGACGGATCGTAATGTCCTCATTATTGTAACGACGTAACTTATTGGTTCGACCTGTTTCATCGGGCACAATGAAACCAATATTACTTGGCCGCGCTGTAGCACCGGACCAGAAGAATGCATCTATCAACATGAAATACGAAAAAAAACATCAATCAATCAATCATGATAATCATCAAATCCAAAGTAAATTCAAACCAAGAAACAAAACGTAGAAATGATCAAATTAAAATCTCAACCAAAGCCTTTAGCGACATGGACGTAAATATCTCAATTAACCTGGTTCACCTTGATTTGATTGTTATATTAAATTGAGCAGCAAAAGTGATCCAATTGATTGGAAATCGTCAGCAAGTGACATGTCAACACTAACGATCTAATTTTAGATCGAATCACTCACCTTGGCCTAACCCGTCGTAGAAAAATCCTTTAATCAAGATAGTGTATTCATCGATAGCATAAACGGTGCCCGAGATTTGATGAGCATAAGTGTTCAATTTACCAAGAAATAATCCAAGGTGCTCTTCCTCTTTAGTGGACACTGGTCATTTGAAAAGAGAAGAAAAAAAACAATCAATATAAAAGTCGAAAGTTCCAATTTTACCTGATCATTTACCTGAGCTTGTAAATAAAGTAAATACTAAAGTAACAGTAACAATTAACATTATCATAGATTTGCATGATCATCACAGATGAGCTTTTATCATCATCATAATTTGGTCTTATCGATATTTGGTTAATTTAGCAAATTAATCAATCGTTGTTGGCACTTTGATCCTTATTTATGAAGAATCAATGAGAAGGACAATTAACACTAATACAGAGATTAAGGTGATTGTTATTGATGATTTTGAAAACGAGAGTTTGAATGAGATGTTGATGGTCCAGTTAATTGTAAAGTAATCAGTCAATTGTCAACATGATGATGAAATGATTAAGGATGAAAAGAGACACAAAAGGATTAACAAAACATAAAAATTCTTATGGTGTTTTTTTTCTTGAATCAAGTCCACGGTTTTCTGGTCACGGAGGGTTAATTATGGGCTGGAATTCAAGTGAATTATATTTTTTCAGTCAAATTTTGTTTACGATCACAGATTAAGATACAGTTGATGATGTTGGTGGTGTTGGTGATGTTGATGATATTATTGAGGGTAAACAGAACTTTGAAATGTCGACAGTGAAAGTAGACAGTAGAGTCTAAAATAGACAGACTAACACATCGAGCGACCGGTTCTAAGTGACCTTAAAACGGCAAGAAAGAGAGAGAGAAAGAGACACTTGTTGTATGGATGGTTAATCTGCACTCACTTCTGGTTGATCCACTTTTTTTTCAATAAGAGAACAGGTAAAAGATTAAGAGAGAGAGAGAGAAAAAAATAAACCTGATTACTTAGTGAGAAGAAAAATTAACGACGACAGAGAGAAAGACAGTAAAAAAGGACGGAAGATGAAGATGAGGATGAAGAAGAAAAGAATTAGTAAAGAAAAAAGAACAGAGAAAAAAAGAGAATAGAAATTGATGAGAGAGAATGAAAAAATTGTTAATTGTTGATCTCTTGATGAAAGTAACAAATTGATGATGAGAAATTAAATTGACCATTTGATTGAATGACCTCAATCGATTGAAATTCAATGTTAACTGTGAATCTATTTTGAAATAATCTAAGCCAACAACAATCAAGAATAGATTCACATTGATTGTTATTCAATATTATTAAGGTTAACAATTGATTACCTCAAATTTGGTTATTTAAATTGAGTTCAAATTGATTGTTATTATCATTTAATCATCTCACCAAATGACCCAACCCAATTATAATAATAACAATTAGAATTGACTTATAATTACTTTTTCCAATGATTAACTTTGATCAATCACTAAGATCACATTTTTATTAATATCAAAATGATTATTAAAATAATATCAACGATTAATTAATAGACGGTGAACATTTTTAATTGTTGAGATGAAAATTACGATTCAAAGTAACAATTAATATAAATATAGTAAAGGTAAAGAACTCAATCAACTACTTGTATCCTGTTATATTAATTGTCTCAAATGATTAACCAACCTTAATTGTTATTGGTAACCAATCCTTTCACGAGAATTGAATTAAATGGATGAGGTGACAATTGAGATTAATTTAGTTTCTTAATGATGATTATAAATAAATTGCAATTAGAAACCAAGGTTGATTGCAAGAAAAGAGAAACAATTTAAAACAATCAATGCCCCCCCCCCGATAATCAATCAAATTTGATTCTAAGAAAATCTCTTGATGATAATAATCAGCTGATGGATTAAATCACAACAATTTAGTGTAAATTTAACTCTTTATGTTTTATTTTCTTGATTAAATAGGAAGTAAAAGAAAGGAAGTTAATTGCTACCAATTTACACAGTGGAAAACATGATAATCGGCTAAAGTGAAATAAATTATTTCCTTTTCCGATAATCATTGATTTATTTGAAAGAGAATTTAAATTCTTGATCATTATCAGTGTTTTCTAATGTAAATTTTTTTTTCTTTTTCTTTTTGTTCATTCAGTTTGTGTATCTAATCAGTATCATTATCTTGAATCAGGTATTATTTGTACCGGTCACCAAGGATCACCATTGATTATCCATCATCTTTATTATTATGGTGTCATTATCATTACCATCAATTTCATCATTCTTTTGGTTAAGGAAGGTTCCTCTTCCATTAGCATCTTGTTATTCATCATCATCGTGTGTCCTCATCATTCATAATCTTCAGGTAATTGGAGACTAGACTTGAAATGGGGAGAAAGTGGGTGAGAGAGAGAGAGAGAGAGAGAGAGAGAGAGAGAGAGAGAGAGAGAGAATTTTCATCATTAATGAGCATTGAAGTTGCTACTTTTCATCAGATGCACCAGCGGATATGAAGAAAGGTAAGGGAGATGATGAGAATGATAATGATGATCGTGAAAGAGATGTGATAGAAAAGATGAGTGAGCAAGAGAGAGAGAGAGAGAGAGAAAAAAAGATAAAATAAGTTATATATAAGTTATAATATCAAATTCAGTAAGGAAGAGGCGACTCAGGTCAAGTCCATCTGAAGACCAAAGCTAAAGACCGGAATCAAGTTTTCCTGTTATAACGGTTCCGTTGATTCTGAGATGGGCAAGAGGGGAGAGAGAAAGATGATAAGGATGATGAGAGAGCTGATCATCTTAATAGTTGGCCCTCTCTCCTTAATACACTTGATTCACAGAGCTGATTGTTAGTAATGGTTGCTTGATTGTGGACCAACAAACCATCTCAATCCTTGAATTTAGTTCCAATTTGATTATTATTATTGTCGATCAACAATTGTAAGTGACACACAACCTTTTGTCTTCCTTTTCATCTTCATCATTCATCTTCCATTCTAATAACTATTCTCTCTCTTCTTTTCTTTTCTTCTCATTTCATTTCTATTTTCATCCTTAATCTTGTTGGTTACGTTCATTTGGTTAATCACTTCATGATTATCGTTTATTTCTGAAAAAACTTCTTCACTCTGGTTCAGTTAAAGGAATCAACATTATAACGGTTTGTAATATTGATCCATCAACAATTTGGACAAAATGTTGTGGACAATTAAGAGAACGTCATTTTTCTGGATTACTGTGATTCTTTTAAGTCAAAGCCATGTTTTATTCGTCTCAACAACATCCTCATCATCTTCCTCATCTGATTTAACATCATCATCTCCATCACCTTCAGAATCATCGAAATCAATTTCAGTAATCGATTCATCACCAACGAAAGTTAATGAAACTTCAATTTCTTCAAATACTTTCTCTATCCAAGGGATCAAGGATTTCATCTTCAAAGCTCGAGGAGTTGATCTTGGTCGAAGTGAGTGTTTTTTTTTTCTTGAAAATGATCTAATTTCTCATGATCAACTTAAGATATTAACTTATTTTCTCTCCTTTAATCAATCTATTCTTAAGCTTTCTCTTCCCTTCGAGGATCGATAAGTACACCATTTACCGCTCTCATGTACATGGGATCACTTGCTGTCGGAGCGATTGTAATGTTGGCCTTCTACGAATCACCGATTTCCCCACTTCCAGTTCCACCTCTTCCTGATCCACCCGTTGGCCGATTCCCACCTGAACATCCAATTTGGCCACCACCAGGTCGATCATCTCAGCCATCAATTGGTCATCATCAACATCAGCCTCATCATCTTTCAGGTGCATCATCATCTCCTCATCAAATAACTGGACCTGGTCCAATGATAACTTCATCATCTGAAATTCATCAAGTTGCCGTTCGTCCACCAGCGGGTTATATTCACCGACGGACAGGAACAGAAAACGGAAATGGTCAACAGTTTCCCATGAAAGGTCAAAAACAGTTAAATCCATTGAACTCAATTAAAAGTAAAATAATTACCTCAAAGGCAAACAAATTACCAGTATCAACTGGTATTGAATTAATTCCCGAAGCAATTAACACTAACAACAACAATTTACCCTTAGTTAATAATGGTGATTCTCCTTCCGGTAATTACAACGGTACCACAATTAATGAATCAACAGGAACAATTAACTCAACAGTCTCTTTACTTGCAAGTTTCATCAAAGATAAACCACAAAAGTTATTTGACATTTTAATGCCAAGAACTTCCGACAATAATAAACAAAATTAATTGCGACAATTTAATTAGCCGATGTACAAGTTAAATTGATAACATGTTTAACTGGTCTTGATATCATTTCATGTATAATTTAAATCATGATCATCAACTCTCATCTCACTAATCATGATTTGCTTTTTTTGAATCAACTCATCCCACCTTAATTTATGATTGAACTTTCAAAATTTGATTCCTGGAAAACTCAAATTAAATCCAGTTTATCATGAAAATAAACAAATTTTATTTATCGTTGTTAATTAACTTTAAATCAAATTCATTTTAAAACTTGATTATAAATTTAATTGTAAGTACGATGAGCAATTTAACTTGTAATCGAAACTCTTATTTAGAAAACAAAAGTTTCAACTCTGAAATCGAAACAATTCGAAAAATTGAATTAATTGTTAACTTCCAAGAATTAGCAAAATCACAACTAAATCAAATACAGTTGGAAAGTTATCATTTTAATATAATAACAATTAACTTTGAGACTATAACATAACAATAATAAACTCGAACTGAATGTAAACAATTAATTTTTAAAAGATCAAACAAGCCACAGTCAACGAGAACTGATTCCAAGAATTAAATGATTACATGGTTACTACATTGACAGGGAAAGATTGGAAACAATCAGAGAATTGTAGATGATTAGATTGATTACAATTAGAAGAAGAAAAAAACAATTAGTTATCAATTAGTAATCAGTAATTAGTTTATCAATTTTGCCTAAATCTTTTTGGCTTAAACCATTTTGGCGATTTTCTATTCGGCTGTTTTCTAAATGGCTCAAATCTTAGGCAATCGAAGAGTTGACTTTAAGCAGATCAGTTTCAATAAAATGCATTCTGTTTCGAATTAATGATTTTGTGTTCCCTTCCAAGTGATTTGATTGTATATCCCTAAATTACTGATTGGTCAATTCTTATGGTAATGATGATGAGCTTGATGGTTACATGAAGGGTTTAACAGCAGTAGTTAAAAAATGGTCCCTTTCGCACAGAAAGAGAAGAAAGAGGAGAAAGAGAAAAAGAAAGAGATTACTTTGTGTTTCTACAATCATTATATTTCTGTTTGAAGTTTTTCTCATCAAATTCATTAATATATCTTGAGTACTCTTAATGGATAATATTGAAGTGAAAGTTCATTTTGTTACATTAAATCTCTTAAATCACTCATTCTAATCTGATTTTTTCGTTTCGAATATTTTCGATTTCTAAACTCAATACCTTTGTTTCATTTTCTAAAAAGGGTCAACACGCGCCAACATTTAATGATTTTTATATTGGTAACAGAAAAGTTATTTAGATAAATAAAATTATCGATTAGAATAAAAACTTGAAAAGTTGTCAGAATTATTTGATTTCTTCGCTATTTTCAATTAGATCTTATTTGTCATTTTCTTAATGTCGTAAAATTTTGGTTCATATTTCTCATCGTGAGCTTCGGGTAAGTAATGAATAATTCTCTTATCAAAGTTCTGTTCAAACTTAGTACAAAGGAGTCCGAGAAGCAACTCAACATTCTCTTTAGACGTGAGCTAGGTAATATTCCTATAACAGTCGCAGAATTTTTTGGTAGTGATGCCGATGTTATTTCATTCTTCAGATCAGGTGAGTCTGATTTACTTTTTCCGGCTAAATATCTTCATTTTTTGGACGGTACAGAGGTGAATGTATCAGTCGGGCCTGTGGTTGGCGGTGACAGTTGTATCTTCATGAACGTTTACCCAAACTCGTCCACTGGTGTAATTAACAAAGGAATATTATCATCACTTGAGATAATTGATGACTCGGTTCGTGTCCTCATCACCCTGTTAACGGTTCTCGCTTTGATATTAAACTTTGCTCGATCTAATATCAGAAGTACTGGTCAAATTAATTCAGACTTTTATCGACCTTCGATCATGAAGTTTCTATTGACAATCCCAAAAGGTAAATTCGGGTTATTCTTATTTTTAACCTGCTCTTTCTCAGTCTATTACATATTACATTTATTTTCGACATCTTTCACAACACAATACTCGATAGCTTCACGTCCAGCACCGTTGAATACGTGGTCTGATTTAATATCACGGAAAGAAATCAAGTGTACTGCAAATAAAAATACTTGTTATCGTTTTGCAAACGAATCTTTGGGCTTAGAAAACCCACTGATTCCGGAATATCAATCCCTCGATAAATATTTGGATGAAAAGGGTAATGAATTAATGGTTTCACTCTTTGGCGAAACCGATTACGTTGAATGGTTTTTTAAATTCTTTTGTCAACATCTCTATATTAGAAATTATGAATTTCTTAAAAATGGACGAAATGATTTCCTGTTTCATTCTAGTAAAGTTCGCTATTTTGAGAAAACGGGTTCATACTTTTACCATACGAATATTGATCGCATTAAGAAACGATGGATTTACAGAGCTTCATATTCATATTTCGAACATGGTTTTAGTAATGTTGCAGCAATGAAAGCGAGGATAAGTTACTATGGTCGCTTCTCGAGTATTCTCTTTCCTGGATGTCAGTTCTACGAGGAATTAAGCCCTAGAGCCGAAGGCTCTTACAGTCCAATCACTCATTCTAATTTTACTGATCTAATTAACCTTTACTTATTACTTTGTGTTTCTACAATCATTATATTTCTGTTTGAAGTTTTTCTCATCAAATGTATGAAATAATGTATTGATAATAAATTAATAAATCTTAAGATAGAGATAAACATCATTATAAAGGGTCACCCTTTGGGGGTGTTACGGTCAAAGAGTAATAGTAAGAGAGAGCACTTGGATGTAACCATCGATAAGGTTTTATCTAACCTTAGGTGAAAGTATGAGATCCAGGTGAAAGCACTAATACATTCTGCAAAAAACGTTAATGCTGAGTAAAATTAGTACCTCGACATCTCATAACTTTGCATTGAAACTATTTTCATTCAGATCGGGCTCTTTTTCGAAAGATACAGAATTTTAAAGTAAAAAAATGAATTCAAGTTAAGTAAAAGTTGCGGTCACTTTCGACCTCAATAAAACCGAAGTCGAAAAAGTTGAGAACCCATATTTTTCTAATTGTCATGAGTATATGTATGCACTATCGAAAAAAAAATTTCAGATAAAAACTTGTGATGGTTCAATAGTTATTACGATTTTTTCAAAGAGCCTCATCTTATCTGGCCATAGAATCCTTTTATCTTGAGCACAATATTTACCCGAAATTTGAGCTTATTTTATTCAAGGTTGTAGATAAGTATTGGGATCATACATTTCCTCCGCCTTGTTAGATGCTAGTAAAAAATATAAAACCATTATTTGAAATAATTTATTTCATCTCTTGTTCCTTTTTCAGGCTACTCTAATTCTTTAGATCCATAGGTCCTAGAAAAAAGTTCATTCGTAATTCGAAAAATATTTTCGGACTCGGCATAAGGAGTGTTTTTTGGATTGGTTATCAATTGATTTGCATTTAAGAGGTGACACTTTCTGCGATGAATATTTACTTAAAATTGATCAATTCGACTTTCAACTTACTTTTGTTAATTAAATCAGCTGTGTAAAAGTTTTCACAGTTTAAATAACAAGTGACTTTTTCTCTAAATAAAATTAAAACTGAAAATAATTTAAGCAAACTGTTTGATTAATTCTCTAATTAGTCCAAATCAATCAACACTTTGTTCATTAAATATTGATCTAACTAATGATCAACTAATTCAAAATTAACTTTGTCTATTGATTCAAATGAATTTACAATAAACAAAATGTAAATTAATCGCAAACAAAGTTTGGGGCTTATTGACTTAATTGTGACTAATTCTCACAGATGATTAAAGTTACAATCAACATTAATCAAGTGGGGTAATCTTAATCACCATCCTGTATAAAAAGCATTAGCTTTAAGTTGATTAACATCACTTGTAATTATCGATCAATTTAATCAACAACATAATAGTTTTGTATTTTGTTTCAAAGTTAAATTTTTAAAAACACAACAATCATGAAATTCAGCAGTATAAAAGTTTTCATCGCCATCGTCGCTCTCTGCATAGCTGAGAGCTCAGGCTCAAACTTCGTCCCAACTAGAGCGGAAAGAGGGCTAGACCTAGTCGAAGCGGATAAACGTCTTGATAACCTGGACGGTATGAGCAGCCGTTGATTTATCCTGATAATTAAGTCAATGAATTTAATCTTTGATGTAGATCGTCATCGAAAAAAATTAACAATTATAATTTAATAAAATAATTTGCTGAATTTAAACTTTTCATTGTTGTCTGTTTATTTTTTCGCGTTCGTCACAAATCATCATGTTATTAAAATTATTGGTAGTAAGACTATCTGATAATTCAATGTAACAAATACTCTGTTAAATTTTATGACAGAATTTACTATTCAAAATAGCTTCTGCCAATGCAAAGCTAAAAGTTCTAATCTTTTTAGTATAAAAATGTAAATGGATGTCTTGATTATCTAACTACTGAAAAACTGTCATTAGCAACTTTGCTACGCGAATGATATAAAATTAACCTCAAACTCATTTCGTATCTACAGTACACTTGATTTCTTTCCGTGATATTAAATCAGACCACGTATTCAACAGAAGCTCTAGTATCGAAGGTCGATAAAAGGCTGAAATAGTTTAACCATTACTTCTGATATTAGATCGAACCGTTAACATGGTGATGAAGATACGAACCGAGTCACCAATTATCTCAAGTGATGATAATATTCCTTTGTTAATTACACCAATTTGGGTAAATGTTCATGAAGACACGACTGTCAGTGCCAATCACTGGCTCGACTGATTCTATTATCTTCCATGTATTGAATAGGCTGGGAACTGACTGAATTTTAAGAAGCTTCAAAAGTCCGTTTATTGTTTTAAATGGTAAGAATTTTTTTCTTTTTCTCTCGCGATTGGTCTCAATTCTAAATCTTGTTATATCAACAATTAACTTATTCTCAACCAATTTTCTGGTTCTGACCGTAAGCTTTATTTTAATTGTATGTGTTAACAAATATAGAGAGAGAAAGAGACTAATTAAGTTTCCACTAATTTTAAATGTTTCAATGTTTTTTCTCAATTAAAAATCTAATATTTACATTCTTATCTCATTATATTATGAATAATCTTCCAGGTAGATGATTTATTCCAGAACCAAGTTACATAATAAGTGCCTCTTTCATATAAAAATTCAGGTTCACCTGAACTTCATCTGATTTTAAAAACTGATAAACTGTTAATCCATTAATCTATTGACCAATTATGCCAGTGTTCACAATTTCAAAATCGCGTGATGACCAACAGATCGTCTCTTTTCAAATGGAAATATGAGAAATTAGTTGATCAAGAGATTGACCAACAACACCAAGAAAACTTGAACCTTCTTGGTAATAAATGCGATTACAATAATGACCTTTCACATGGACAAAAGTTACTACAATCTCAGCGACAAATAACCACAAATAACCAGGAGACAATTATACCAGATCTAGAATTTAGTAACGATTATTATGAACTCAAAAAGCGATCTCAAAAAGAAAGACAATCAAACAAAAAGCCTGACCATCATCATTACATTTTCCATAGGATTGAAAAAGGTGATACCCTTCAAGGAATCGCCCTTAAATGGTATTGTTCATTACATGAGCTTAAACGGGTTAACAATTTAGTTTCTGATCAAGATTTTCATGCACTTGCTGTCATTAAAATACCTGATAAAAAGTATGAGACTATTTTCAATCTATTGATTCAATATATTTGTTTCATTTTATAAAAAGGGTCAACACGCGTCAACCTCTATTTCTATATTGGAAACGGAAAAGTCATTTAAATTAATATAATTATCGATTTGAATAAAAAAACTCAAAAACTCAAACTACTTTGATTTTTTCGTTTGTCATATCTATTCAATCTTTTCTATTTGTCGTTATGATTTCATTTTCTTAGTTTCGTTTAGAAAAATTGTGACTAATCTTCACAGCTGCTTAGAGTAACAATTAACATTAACTAATTGAAATAACCTTAATCACAATGTTGTATAAATGATCGTCAGCCAAGAATCAGCTTCAATCAATTTTTCCGTCGACTTTCAGAAGCTACATTAACTGTAAGGTTAGTGAGTTGTTCATTTGGTAATCATTATTCAAATACGTTAATAAGAGAAAGTTGATTCAGATTAGGTTAATTAGATAATAGATTAAATTAACGATCATCCGATTGTTTAACATTAACATTGACTTTGTCTGTTGATTCATATGAAATTTAGTTATAAACAAAATGTAAATTAATGCAAACAAAAGTTTAATTCTATTGATTTAATTGTGACGAATTCTTATAGGTGATTAAAGTAACAGTTAATCATGATCATCAATTTAACCAAAATTCATGTCTTGGAGACCAATCTCCCCAAATCCGACCAATTTTTTCAAATGGTAAATATTTGGATAAAACAGCTAAAGAATCAATGATTTCACTCTTTGGTGAGACCGATTATGTTGAATTGTTTTTTAAATTCTTTTGTCAACATCTCTAAGTAGGGGCAAACCATCCGCTTCTGGCACAGGAAGGGGGTGGGGAATACTACTTCCGGTTTCTTCCGGTCCCTCCCCCCTCTCAAACCCCACCCCCAAATGCACTCATGCATAACAAAAATTAAATAAAATTGTGATCACTCAACCGTGAAAATTTATGCAAAGGCTTAACCTTGAATAATTATGCAAAGGCTTAACCTTGAAACCTTAAGCTAAAGCTAAATAATGAAAAGGTATAAAAGGACAGGAAGTTCATAATTAAAGTATAGTTTCATTTTATAATCAGTATGGATAACAATGAAGAAATTTTGTTTAGTTATTCAGCTAACTCACGTGGTGAAGTTAATCACTTTCTTCTAATAAAGAAAAAGAAAGATGATTCATTTGTTTACCGAATGTCTATCAGTTCATGGACACCATCATGTGCAACTGGTGATGTAGCTGATGGACCAAACTTCAGTGTCGAGTGTTCATTAACTGTAAGGTTAATTAGTTGTTCATTTGGTAATCATTATTCAAATACGTTAATAAGAGAAAGTTGATTCAGATTAGGTTAATTAGATAATAGATTAAATTGACGATCATCCGATTGTTTAAAATTATCATTGACTTTGTCTGTTGATTCATATGAAATTTAGTGATAAACAAAATGTAAATTAATGCAAACAATAGTTTAATTCTATTGATTTAAAGTAGTATAAGAGTGTACCCCTTAAATGCAGGTACCCCTTAAATGCATATATTTGTACACCTTGTGCAGTTTATTAAATGCTTATTTTTATCATTTCCTTTTCCTTTTGATCTAATTGTAATGATCCAGGTGGAGAGGGTAAAAAGGTAGATTATTTAATTAACCAATTTATTGTTTTCATTTAATGAAAGAAAAGCCTTAGAATCTACCACGTTCGGCAAACATAAAAAACAAATAGAAAATTAAAAACTTCAATGTATGTTCATCATGGATGATATACAGAAGATATGCTTATTCAGCTTAAACGAAAAAGATCGTATAAAAAGAAAGAGAATCATGATTGAAATCATCAGTTGAACATTAAACTTACATAGTAATAGTAACTATTGAACAGTTTTAATATTACTACATCTTCAAACGATTTAATCATCTTGTTAAGGATCTTTGGGTTATCTGCTTCGTTCTTTGTCTTTGGATAGACTAGTTGAAGTTCTTTGGGTTATCTGCTTCGTTCTTTGTCTTTGGATAGACTAGTTGAAGTTCCTTGGGTTATCTGCTTCGTTCTTTGTCTTTGGGTTATCTGCTTCGTTCTTTGTCTTTGGATAGACTATTTGAAGTTCTTTGGGTTATCTGCTTCGTTCTTTGTCTTTGGATAGACTATTTGAAGTTCTTTGTTATCTGCTTCGTTCTTTGTCTTTGATAGACTAGTTGAAGTTCTTGGGTTATCTGCTTCTTCTTTGTCTTTGATAGACTATTTGAAGTTCTTTGTTATCTGCTTTGTCTTTGTCTTTGATAGACTAGTTGAAGTTCTTTGTTATCTGCTCTGTTCTTTGTCTTGGACAGACTAGTTGAAGTTCTTTGGGTTATCTGTTCTGTCTTTGTCTTTGGATAGACTTGAAGTTCTTTGGGTTATCTGTTTGTTCTTGTCTCTTGGATAGACTATTTGAAGTTCCTTGGTTATCTGTTTGTTCTTTGTCTTTGGATAGACTAGTTGAAGTTCCTTGCTATCTGCTTCTGTTCTTTGTCTTGATAGACTATTTGAAGTTCCTTGGGTTATCTGCTTGTCTTTGTCTTTGATAGACTAGTTGAAGTCCTTGGGTTATCTGTTTCTGTTCTTTGTCTTGGATAGACTATTTGAAGTTCCTTGGGTTATCTGTTTTCTTTTGTCTTGATAGACTATTTGAAGTTCTTTGGGTTATCTGCTTCGTTCTTTGTCTTGGATAGACTAGTTGAAGTTCCTTGTTATCTGCTTTGTTCTTTGTCTTTGGATAGACTATTTGAAGTTCTTGGGTTATCTGTTTGTTCTTTGTGTCTTGATAGACTAGTTGAAGTTCCTTGGGTTATCTGTTTTCTTTGTCTTTGGGTTATCTGCTTTGTTCTTTGTCTTTGGATAGACTAGTTGAAATTCTTTGGTTATCTGCTTTCTTTGTCTTGGATAGACTAGTTGAAGTTCTTTGTTATCTGCTCTGTTCTTCGTCTTTGGGTTATTTGCTTTTTGTCTTGGATAGACTATTTGAAGTTCTTGTTATTCTTTGCTTTGTCTTTGATAGACTATTTGAAGTTCCTTGGGTTATCTGTTTCTTCTTTGTCTTTGGATAGACTATTTGAAGTTCCTTGGGTTATCTGCTTCTGTTCTTTGTCTTTGATAGACTATTTGAAGTTCCTTGGGTTATCTGCTTCGTTCTTTGTCTTTGATAGACTATTTGAAGTTCCTTGGGTTATCTGTTTGTTCTTTGTCTTTGATAGACTATTTGAAGTTCTTTGGGTTATCTGCTTCGTTCTTTGTCTTTGATAGACTAGTTGAAGTTCCTTGGGTTATCTGCTTCGTTCTTTGTCTTTGATAGACTATTTGAAGTTCCTTGGGTCTGTCGTTCTTTGTCTTGGATAGACTAGTTGAAGTTCCTTGTTATCTGTTCGTTCTTTGTCTTTGGGTTATCTGTTTGTTCTTTGTCTTTGATAGACTATTTGAAGTTCCTGGGTTTTCTGCTTCGTTCTTTGTCTTTGGATAGACTAGTTGAAGTTCTTTGTTATCTGCTTCGTCTTTTGTCTTGGATAGACTATTTGAAGTTCCTGGGTTATCTGCTTCGTTCTTTGTCTTTGATAGACTATTTGAAGTTCCTTGGGTTATCTGCTTCTGTCTTTGTCTTGGATAGACTATTTGAAGTTCCTTGGTTTTCTGTTTGTTCTTTGTCTTTGATAGACTAGTTGAAGTTCTTGGGTTATCTGCTTGTTCTTCGTCTTTGATAGACTATTTGAAGTCCTTGGTTATCTGCTCTGTCTTTGTCTTTGATAGACTATTTGAAGTTCCTTGGGTTATCTGCTTGTTCTTGTCTTTGGATAGACTATTTGAAGTTCCTCTTATCTGCTTCGTTCTTTGTCTTTGATAGACTAGTTGAAGTTCCTTGTTATCTGCTTTGTTCTTTGTCTTTGGATAGACTATTTGAAGTTCCTTGGGTTATCTGCTTCGTTCTTTGTCTTTGGATAGACTAGTTGAAGTTCCTTGGGTTATCTGCTTCGTTCTTTGTCTTTGGATAGACTATTTGAAGTTCCTTGGGTTATCTGCTTCGTTCTTTGTCTTTGGATAGACTAGTTGAAGTTCCTTGGGTTATCTGCTTCGTTCTTTGTCTTTGGGTTATCTGCTTCGTTCTTTGTCTTTGGATAGACTATTTGAAGTTCCTTGGGTTTTCTGCTTCGTTCTTTGTCTTTGGATAGACTAGTTGAAGTTCTTTGGGTTATCTGCTTCGTTCTTTGTCTTTGGATAGACTATTTGAAGTTCCTTGGGTTATCTGCTTCGTTCTTTATCTGCTTCGTTCTTTGTCTTTGGGTTATCTGCTTCGTTCTTTGTCTTTGGATAGACTTGTTGAAGTATAATAAAATTTATATCTAACAAATATGGCACAACGAGCACCAGGTCAAGCTCGATATACTGAGGGTATGCATCCTATGGAGCTGAAAGCATGGGCTGAAGACCCGGAAACAGGTTTACGTGAATATTATTGGGATTGGGGCTTTGGCGGAGGAAACGAGGAAGACATATACCTCGAAGAAGATCCACCGAGTCATCTTAAGCGGCCGATTGAACTCGTACGAGAGTTTAATGAAAAATTGCGAAAAGATAATGAAGAGGTTCGAGCAGACATTGAGGCCAATCCTCTTCATTTCGTTTGCATTTATTGCAAAAAAAATTTAAAATCACTTTGTAGCTTAGAACAACACATTTTCCCGAAGCGATCTTACACTGACACTAATCGCTTCGAAATTTCTTGTCATGTAAGAAAAGTTGATGAAGAATGTAGTGGTTTTGTGAGAAAAAGACATGGTAAACCAGGTAGATTTCCTTGGTTCTATGTAACTGATCGGCAAAGTGGTCAGCTAATCAGACGAAGAGATTACTCGTCTGAATTAGCAATTGAAATTGATAAACATATTGAAAAAGCCAAGAATGATTACTATCTTGATGGTGAACAATAATATTATGAATAAAAAAAAGAAAAATAAAATTACATCTTCTTGATCAAAAAATGTCTCAATTGATTTATTTATATGTATTATAGTTACACAATAAATGGATAAATTACTCAGCATTACCACTTCTCTTAGTTGATAACCTTTTCTTTTTATATACAACAAGACCACAGGTACAATTTCGTGGCTTAACATCTTTCAAAAAATTGTTGACTTTCCCCATTTCACCTTCAAGTGTTAAAGCGATTTTCATACCAAAATCACAAACATTGGCACGATCAAGTTCTAAGGGTTTCAACAATCGAGCAGCATCATTACCAACACAGGGGGCTAAACCAGAGATATTAAAGCTGTGGATAAAGAGTCTCAGGTCATCATCAGAGATGTTTTGAAATGAAAATTTTATAATCATAGTAACAGGCTTGTTGGTGTCAACGTCAAAACCAAATAAACCGTCCATATTGTCAATCATGATGAACACTTAATAAATGAGAATTTAAAAAGAAGTTGTTTGTACTATTTAGTTGATCACCTTTTACGTTAAAGATCAGTTGAAAATGATACTGAAGATGAAAGATTACAGTCTACCAAAAATTACTAATATTGTCTCGTGTTGGGACTTGTGTCGAAGTATTATTATAAAAGGTGCTTCAGGAAAAACAAAGAAGAGATTCAATGCCGATGTGATCAGAGATAAAGGTAAATGCTTACTCGTATTTGAATCAGGAAAAGTTAATGCAACAGGATTTAAAACTATAACTTCAGCAGGTGCATTTGTTCAAAAGCACTTCCCTCTGGATAAAATTAAATTTGTAAGAGTTTGTAACTACGTTGCTTCAGGAAAAATTTATCCGCGAATAGATGTAAACATTTTTGTTAAAGCAAATGATAATGTTTCATATGAACCCGAACTTTTCAATGGTATCTATTGGAGGGATGGTAAAGTATGTGTTATTTACTTTCCAAAAGGCTCTTACATTATAACCGGAGGTAAAACTAGAAGACACTTACGACATATTTTTGAAAAGTTTTTCTCTTGTCTCTCTTTTGCTATAAAAAGACCAGTAAATCAAGAAATCAATTCAGTTTAAAGTTTTCTCTTCATCATCATCCGTCAATATTATACTTAGTTTTCAACTTAAAATCATTATGCCTGTTTTGACCTGGAGCTCATTAAAGCCAATTGTTATCAACCCTGATTTGAAAATTACCGTTTCTTATGGAGTAGATGAATTCGGAGATGTTACTTGTACACGTTCGGACATTCGGTTTTACTATAACAATCATCCGACTCGTAATGGACTGAACCTCAAGCGATGGGAACTTATTCATCTTGGTAGATACATTTCTATGATGATCAAAGGAACTGCAGAGGAATTGGAAAGTATTGATGAGCTTTCTATCGTTAAGCTTGACTCTGGTGATCTTCAATGTGAGAAGAGACATGCAAAGCTGAAGATTGAAGCTAAATACTTTAATGTTCTGGACAATCTGATTCCTGGTATCGTCTTACTTCATGAATTCGTTAAAGATCCTCTTGGAAAATATCCGGCTTCCTTATTACAACAAGCGTGTTTATTCTCTAAATTTATTGATGGTCAGGATAAAAATCCTATGATTAAATGGGAGGAAGAAGAGTTGCTTGAACCCGGGAAGCTAACGGATGAACAAAAAGACACCATGAAAGGGAAAAAGAATGAACTTTTCGATTTTTACTCTGCTTCCTTTGGCAAGATTGACGGTTTGTCAACAGATTTACCTTCATTTGAGGAGGTAATTTCCTCTGGATTTGCAGGAAATCTTGCAGATTTTGCGAAAGAGAACAAGATAACGTTTCGCTCTCTAATTATTGTATTGAAAATGATTTGTGATTGATTGTACTCATTTAACTTTCTGAATCCATTTAATAAACTTGATTTAAATTGAACTTTCTGCTTGTGTGTTTACAAAATTATTTTCATCTTAAAAAAATGAATTCCAATATATGTGCTTTTTTTGATGTACAAGGTTTCCACAACAATGGTTTATTCATTCCACGTGAACTTGCTCTTCTTAGTGATCTATCAACGGTTCATTTTGCTATCGATCATCGTCAAAAAACTTCAGACATATCTCTGGAAAGTTCGTGGTCGATAGCCACGGAAACATCAATGGTTCATGGACTACCATTCGAATGTAATGGACATGGACTTCGTGTCAATCAGGCGACCAGTCTTCTTTCAACTTTTTATGGATCAAGTACCACGCAGGATGAGTTTCTCATGGCCTATGTCTCTCCTGATGCTGAAGGTGTTCTCCGTCGTATGGGAATTCCAAGGATTAAGATTAATTTAGCTACCAATCCACGAGGGAAACCATGTCAACTCCATCCTGCTGATGCTAAGTATCAATGTGCATTGAAAACGGTTGTACAAATGTGGCATGAAAACCGTACTAAGTGATTAAATAGTTTATGAATAAAAAAAGAATAAAACAGAAGATAATTAAAGAGAAAAAGTTTTTACACTCATAACAATTAATACTTTAGGTATTTGAAATTAAAACAATAAAAAATTTTCATCCATATTTCATCTACTTTTTTTATACTTAACAAATTTTTCTTGTTAAATATTTTCTTTCATCTCGCGAAATCCGAGAAACCCATTAACTCGCGTGATCTTAGTGGACATGGATATCATTTATCTCGCGAGGTAGGAGAAATCAACATTCTCGCGATACCTCTAAGACCAGTGAGCTCGATTAACTCGCGAGAAAGCCCCCCCCGCCAGGGTTTAACGTAATGACAAACCAGTAGGATACTTACCTACCAAACGTCTACCGAACTTAGTTAAATTGCATTTCTAAAATTGGTCTCCGGTCTTCTCCGGAATTGAGAGTTATCATTTTCCATCAGTATTGATCAGAGTAATCAGTGGAATAAATTTCATATTGGGTGTGGTTGTTGGTGGGGAGAAAAAAATTTTTTCCCACAAAATTTCAGAAAATTGAATTAAATTTCTAAAATTGGTCTCCGGTCTTCTCCGGAATTGAGAGTTATCATTTTCCATCAGTATTGATCAGAGTAATCAGTGGAATAAATTTCATATTGGGTGTGGTTGTTGGTGGTGAGAAAAAAATTTTTTCCCACAAAATTTCGGAAAATTGAATTAAATTTCTAAAATTGGTCTCCGGTCTTCTCCGGAATTGAGAGTCATCATTTTCCATCAGTATTGATCAGAGTAATCAGTGGAATAAATTTCATATTGGGTGTGGTTGTTAGTGGGGAGAAAAAAATCTTTCCTCAAAAATTTCGGAAAAAATGGTTGGTTTGTTACTAAGGATTGAATAAATTGTAAATGCATAATAATTCTTTTCATCCATTTTTCCACAAATGCAATTCAGCTAAAATAAACAAAAATAGGTACGTCAGAGCAAACAAAATTTTGTCAAATTTTTTCTCTTCGTAATTACATTATTAAATTTTCAATATGGATCACGTTATAAACAATATACCTAATGTAAGTAAATTTCATGACTTAAGTTATGACAATTAATTTTTCACGATTTCTCAATCTTAGATCATTGAAAGAGCCATTTATTCTAGACTGAGTGACCAATATAAAATCTATGAAAAAGAAGGAGAAGATTTGGTACAAACAATTTTGGATTATGGATTTACTGAAGTTTTATCATACACAATTGGAGGTTACACGACAAATGATCAGATCAGGAGTATCCTTGATAGGCAAATGCCATCAGTGTTTCATCCAGCTTATCAATATGTGTGTAGTTTGAATGAAATCGATATTTTACTAGTACAAATCCGAAATGTGATGTATTGTATTGCTCATCAGATACCTGGTAGCCGTTCGATTATTTTGAATTAAATGTAAAATTGAGATAAGATTTGGAGAAAAAAACATGACAATTTATTACAGAGATGAAGATGTTACAATCAATTCAGATTCATTAATCATGAGTATTTTATCTTCAACGAGTCTCATATAATCAACAAGATAATTATACAAAGTAACAGTACTTTCCGATTCAATCAAATTTTTTAATTTAATCAAGTGATCACTCAGTAAGTCTACATTATCACAACAAAAATGTTCACCGACTTCACCATCACTCGATGTAACCGAATTAACACATGATAGAGACACTTTTCGCTTACGCTCGTATTCATTGATGATAACTTGTATTCTTCTTTTGAGTGACGGCAGCTCCACTTGACGTTGTATTCTCCACAGAACAAATGTAAGATTTCTTGATAACTTTTTGTAAAAAACATCCATAGCTCTTCGAAATTAAACTCTTTCGTACACTGAGATTTTTATAAAGTTGCTGAATTTTTTTATTGCGCGTGTGTGACAAAAAATTGGGGTATAAATAAAATTGAAATATTCATATTTGATTTAGTTGATATTTATATTGCATTTTAAATCATAAGTATTATTTTAATTGAAAAACTAGAATGGATGATCAGGTAAGTTTTCTTGAATCTGTGAATTTTTAAATTTAATATTTTAATATCTTTCTTATTTTAGGGGTTAAGATGTAGATTTTGTCAAATTGTCTTTGACGACTTAGGTGACTTCATAAACCATTCATGTTGTGACAATGATTCATTGGATGAATTGCAAATTTACTTAACCAGTGGGTTATTCGAACCATCAACAGTGCCGACACAAAATGAAGATAGACAACAACAACAACAACAACAACTTCAAGTAGTAGATGATCTTGCTGCAATTAGTCAGTCTATTGGTAGCTGTCCTCAGTGTAACCAGTTTTTCGGTGACTTTTCTACTCTTTTGGATCACACATGCTATCCAACACAACCTACAAACAACAGTGAAAACAGTAAAATGGAGATTGAAGGTTTAGTTTGTGAAAAATGTTCAACGAGATTCGACACAAATCAACAACTAGAAAGTCATGTTAAAATTTGTGGCTTGATACTTGCATCACCTAAAGTAACAGATATAGTTGAACTTTTCAATTTCACTTTGATCAAACAAGCATTCAGATCGAAGTATCGCTTATATTCAAGAAAATTTGATAAATGTTACACATTGGAAGATCTACATACCAACACTGTTCCAGATTTGAAAGCTATGGTTGAGTCATTGTCAAGAGAACTTGGTCCACTGAAAATTTCATTTTCAATTAACATTGTATTTGAAAAACTTGGTACGAAAGATTTCGTCACTTCGTATATTCATTCAATTTTTAAAGTTTATCTGAGTGAATGTGATGATTTGGATCAATTACTCATGGATAGTTTCTCTGAGATTCAAAGTATAATTGATCATTATACGGAGAGAGGAAGTGGTTTCATCATAGTTTGTATTTCATCTCTAGATGTTTATGTTGCATGGTATCAGCCACACCATGGAGGATGCCGTCTCCAGAAATTACCAAAGCAACTCTATGGAAAGAGATGTTTTGTAAGTCTTAACTGTAAGACAAGCTGTTTTATGTATTCAATATTAGCGAGTATATATGGAGACGTTGACAAACATCGCGTAACACAATATACTCGATACATCAATAACCATAATTTCTCAAAATGGACAGGAGATGTTACTCTTGAGCAGATAAACGGCTTTGAAAAGGTTAATGATATATCTGTTAGTGTTTTTTCATACAACTTAGATGGTAAATACATAATCCCTCTTCGTATTACCAGAGAGAAAAAGAGTAAACACGTTAAATTACTCTTATATGCTGATCATTTCTATCCCATTATAAGCTTACGTAGAGCCTTGAACAGTAAAACTAATAGAAGACGATACCACTGTGAAAGATGTCTACATGGGTATACTTCTAAAGAAAAACTTGCAACTCATCTGATTGATTGTGAAAATAGAGCCGTACAACGAGTGAAACTACCCGTGGTATCGATACAAACTCCATTTGCAGATTTGGTTAAGAGGAACTTGAAAAAAGAAAGCAAACACCCTTTCATCATTTATGCAGATTTTGAAAGTGTATGTATACCAACTGGTGATCCAAGAAAAGTATCTCGTCACGAGCCTAGTAGTTATGGTTATATAGTTGTTGACTGGAACAAACGTGTGATTAAGAGCGATTATAAACACGGAGAAAACATCATCAATGATTTCCTGAGTAGTGTTAAGCAAACTGAGAAGTGGTTAGATGATTACCTGAAAGTTAATGCCTGCAAGCCAATGACGATCACATTTGATCAGACACAAAGTTTTAAAACTGAATGGAATTGTTGGATCTGTGGTGGTTTCTTGGGAGGAGATAGAGTGAGAGACCATGATCATTTTACTGGTGCATATCGAGGTGCTGCTCACAAGTCCTGCAATGTAAACTACTCCATTCCCAAAAGAATTCCAATTTTCTTCCATAACCTTAAGAACTATGATAGTCATTTACTTATTGCTGGAATGGACGGTAAAACCTTCTCTTCCAATATTACCATAATACCGCAATCTTTGGAAAAGTATATTGGATGGTATTCCGGTAATTTAGCTTTTCTTGATTCGTATGCTTTTTTACCTGCTAGCCTTGACACTCTATCGAAAGATTTAAGCCTAGTCGATAAGGAGCACTTTTTACGTCAAGAGTGGAAAACTCGTGATCTAACCGACCTTCTTGATAAAGCTGTCCTTCCATACGAATATTTGGACTCATTTGAAAGGTATGAAGAGAGAAATCTACCTGCAATAGAATCATTCTATTCATCTCTCACTGATAAATCTATTACAATTGAAATGTATGAAAGATTAACGCGTGTCTGGAGACAATTTAACTGCCAAAAATTGGGTGATCTGATAGACATTTATTTACGTTTAGATGTACTTTTGTTAGCCGCTGTTTTTGAAAACTTTAGAGAAACAAGTTTAAATGACTTTGCTATTGATCCGCCACATTATATGTCAGTTCCTGGTTTATCTTTTGCCTCAGCGATAAAGATGCTTAAAGTATCCCTGAAGATCTTTACTGATCTGGAAATGTACATGATGGTTGAGAACGGAATAAGAGGTGGTTTCACTACAGTGGCCAAGAGACACGTAAAAGCAAACAATAAATTGGTTCAATCATACGACGGAGGCGATCAAACATGGATTCTTTATTTTGACGTGAACAATTTATATGGCAAGGCAATGTGTGATGTTCTACCGTTTGGTAACTATCAATGGTTAGAGTCACGACAGTTAAACTGTTACCTATCTGTCGAAGACGATGCACCAACAGGTTACATTCTTGAAGTTGATCTAATCTATCCTGAGACACTGCACGATCTACATAACGATTTTCCACTTGCTCCACATAAAATGGTAATTTCAGATTCAATGTTAAGTCCAACCGCTAAATCTATTCTCGATGAACTAGACCAGAAGTCAACAAAAACTGAGAAACTTGTTGCTACTTTTCTTCCTAAAACCCGATATGTTATCCACTACCGAATGCTGAAGTATTACGTCAAACATGGATTGAAAGTGACGCATATTCACCGAGTAATATCTTTCCATCAAAAGCGTTGGTTATCACCGTACATCAACCTTTGCACCGAAAAGAGGAAACAAGCATCCTCTCCTTTTGTCTCATCCCTTTACAAGCTATTTGTAAACAGCAATTATGGTAAATTGATGGAAGATAAAAGGAAAAGAGTTAAAGTTGACTTGGTGACAACAGATACTATGGCTGCAAGACGAACTCGAAAGCATCTATGTAAAAACATGCGAATCCTCTCAGATGATAAAGTGCTTTTTCAAATGCTACCGGATACCGTTTTACTTGACAAACCCATAATTGTTGGTTTTACTGTATTAGAGTTGGCTAAACTTCATGTTTACACCCTCTACTATGATAGATTTAAATCTTATTTTCATGATAACATCAGTTTAGTATATTCTGATACTGATTCTCTCTTAGTTGAGATAAAAACTGACGATTTAGTTCGAGATATGGATCATTTTTCAGATATAATGGATTTCAGTGATCTTCCTGTTGAACACTGCTTGTATAGCAGTAACAATCGAAAAAATTGGATGTCTAAAGGATGAGATGAATGGTCAAGTGATTGAAGAAGTTATCGCTCTGAGACCAAAACTGTATGCAATCAAAACACAAAGCGAGGTTAAAAAGAGGGCTAAAGGAGTTCAAGGTGTTGTAGTTGAGAACCAGTTATCATTTGAGGATTATAAAAATTCTCTTTTCAATGTGAAAACAGTTCGAAGGACAACACGTAGACTGGGATCAGAAAATCACATTGTTCATCTATATGTAAACGATAAGATTGCTTTATCACCATTTGAAGATAAGCGTTACCTCATTGATTCTGTAAACTCTCTTGCCTATGGACACTACTCAATAAAACAATAATCTATTGAATTGTCTGTAAGATTTCTTCTTTCTCGCGAATATAGTGATATCAATTTACTCGCGATTAAAAGGATCTCATTTTCCTCGCGAATTATGAGAAATCCTCATTCTCGCGAGACCTGACCGATCACTGAATTTTTGAGCTCATGAGTTCGCGCCCACCCGGAGGAACTTGTTATTTCGAGTTCACATTTTATTTTTATTTTAATAGAGAGTAGTTTTTGTACATTAAATACTCATTTCTCGAATGGTTACAGCTTTTCATAAGTTTAAAGAAAGATTTTTGTTCGACATCAGTACAAAAGTAAACAATAATAGCCAAGCTGATGAATCATCTCCTTGATATTTTGATTTCGATATTTGATAGAAGGAAACGCTTCTCTGCATGAATGATAAAATTTCAGGAGGAGGGGGTCGTCCGAAAGAGTCAAAGTAAATAGCTCTACGGTTACTGTCAATGTATACCGATACCCAATGTGAACCTGGTTGGTAAGAAGGATCCAAATTTACAATGTAATTTATTTTTGTTGTTGGAATCACCAAAGGTAAATTATTGATTGAATAAACTCCACCGAAAAACTTGTTTCCAGACAATAACATTTCCAGCTCTCTCGATGTTAACATCCTTTGTTAATCACTCAATAATCTATTACAACGGTTCGCTCTCTGTCAACTGTTATCAGGTTATCAAATTGTCCAAGTACAATCAGTTTAACTTGTTTAGTCAATGTTTTAGAAAATCTAATTTCACATCTTATAGACCCTCGCCTAAGTAGATTTAGTGTTCCCGTTTCTCCCCCCAGTGTACCATCACTACTCAAATCAAAGGCAAATAGGCAATAATTTGACTTGTATTTGTCATAGTCAATGTCACATTGCGGGATTCCGTCGTCTTGACCAGTGTAACGGTAAAGATTGATAAATTCTCTCATGTACAAGTTTCCTCAAAGTCAGGTTGGTATGGGACTGTTGGTACATGGTTACCGTCAACATTCAAAGCTAAGTGAGAAACTGAAAAATTGTCAAATTTAAATGGGCCTGACTGTCGATCACCAGAAAATGATTCTTCACTAACAAAGCCTAAGATGATACGCTTAGGTAGGAAGCCATTGAACAAATTTTCAACTGTTATCATGTTAACATCCTTTGTTATTGTAAAGTTTTTCATTTCGTTTCTTATGATGAAATATTTTGCTGGTACTCTACTAAGTGTTGTGAGAAGTGCTGCTTGAGCATCGGGAAATAGTTTAACCCTTCTAACAAACAATGATAAACTTGTTATTTTAGTTTTATATGTTTCTGTGTCAGCCTCAGTTGTTGCCCAAACTGGAAAGGTTAACGGACTTCGGGTTAGTTTGAAAGTCATGGGTAATCCACTCACCATCAATCGATCTTGTTGACAAATGGGTAAATGTAAACGAAAGAATAGATCATAGGTTCGACTTGCAACAACAAATTGAGGTTCTTTTCGTGAAAGGTTACCAGTGTCCACAGGGTTGGGAAATTTATAAAGAAGATCTTCAAGAAAAGCCTGATAGTGGTACATGTTTGAAGCTTGACATAAGTTTACACCATTGAGAAATAAGTCGATTTGCTCAAATAGAGCATTCCCAAAATTGCGAGCCATCATTGCTTTTACTGCATTTTTTGTTGGTTCATTTGTTCCATCAATTATTTGAACTTTCATGTGTAACATTGTAGCCGCCATATCTGTCATATCCTCAGAAGGTGGAACTGCAATTTCATAGACAAGGCTACTTTCCAGGCTTGCCGATGGTCGGTATTCAGTTTCATAGCTTGACTCTATTGTTACTTGTGTAGATGGAACTGTAAACAAGGTTAGCTCACTTTTCCCTGCCGGGTTTGAGTCAACGTGTAGATACTCCATTATCCGAAAATATCCTTTCTTTGCTTTCTTTTCTTACTTTTACTTTTCACTCGTTTTACACTTCTCTTACGCTGGACAGTTTTTCTTCTTCTTCGTCTCTTTTTAGCCTTGACTGCTTTGATTAATTTCTTATATGCTTGTAATCCTACATTACCAGAACCTTTTTGCTCTAATAACTTGTTCACTTTAGCTATAGATTGAGTTGTTGCATTTCGAAGCCCTTCTTTTGCTCTCTCTTTCAATGCATCTTTAAACCTTCTCTTCTCCAACATATCAGCTCCAACGTTTACCCCTGTACGTAGAAACTGTTTACCCAGAAATTTCAGAATAGGAATTCCAAATCTTGCAATTAACGTACCTATCCCATACCCTCTTTGATATGGTGAACCTTTGAAAACACTTATATCACCGAAACCACTTCCTACTTGAGACGCGAAAAACCTTTGCAGGTCTGATTCACATGAACAATGAACTTTTCTTGACATTTTTTTTTATTCTCAGTGATAGTTTTACAATTTCTTATACAACTTTTTTCAAATGTAACCCAATACAAACTCGACCTGAGTTGAATTTTACTTGTTCTCCGGTCTCATCACTTAAAATGAAGTTAACATCTTCCATTCTATTTGACCTTAGCGGATAATAATGAGGCTTCATGAATCTTTCATGAATTATTTGCTTCTTTTCGTCTCCTCTCAAGGGTAAAACACGAAGGACCCTTGCTGATTTGTCTCCAACAAAGTGCTCAGATACAATGTCAGAGTTTACAAACATCAAGTGAGGCTGGAAATCAAGAGCAGCAGGTTTCTCGGCACTCATGCTAACCTCGTTTGTGGTTAGTAATCGGCCAATTTTATCTAGGTAACCATAAGCATCGAACCCAAGAGCAGAAATAAAAGCTGAATCATTGAAGTGAGGGACTATAATTCGATTATCTAAGTATCCTCTGTGAACGATAATTTTCCCTTTACCAGTTCAACAAAAGGCACTTTATCATCTTCACTAATAGTCAGTTCATTCTCTACCAATGGTTTGAATTTATATAATTGCCGTCTAACTCTTTCAATATCTTCAAGTAATTGATTTTTTTCAGCTTTCTGTTTAACCAAATCATCATTCAATCTAACCACTTCATTGGCCAGAGAGTCATGTTTATCTTTCAACTCTTTCAAAGTCATTTCAACAGCATTTTCTCTGGCGATAGATTCAACCATTTGATTCAATGTGTTTAGTTCTTCCTTTGGAACGAGTTCAGCTATTTTATCTCTTAGCTCAGCTTCAACTTTTTGTAATTCACTCACTTTTGCTCTCGATTCTTTCAAGGTCTGCTGATAGACTTGCTCTCTATCCTCCATCAGTTTCACTTTGTTTGTGTAAGTACCAGATTCTTCTTGAATTTGATCCTTTACTTTTTGTAGCTCCTCTCCTTGCTCCAGCTTACATCTTTCTAATTTTTTCTCATATTCCAAGACTTTCTCTGAATTAGTTGACTTAGCGTCGAGCAAGTCTCTTTCGATCTTTTTTAACTTGGCATCGGTTTCCTCCTTAAGCACATCATATTTCTCTTGCAATGCCAAAAGGTTTGCATCACGTTCACTTTTTAGTATTTCAAGTTCACTTCGTAGTTTTGAGGCTTCAACGTTCTTGGCCATAGCATCATCTTGCCATCGTTTTAATCTTAACAAGGCATCTCTCAAATCTTTCTTCAGATGATAAATCTCGGAATCTTTGTTAGGTTGTTTCTCAAGTTTGTTTATCTTTTCAGTTTGATCAGCCAACAATTTTTGTGCAACTAATTTATACTTAGCAAAATCATCTTCAGCGTCGATTCTTGATGCTAGGTTAGCATTAACACTGCTACTTCTTTGTTTTTCTGACATCTCGGTGGACAGAGGCAATTTCCTGTTCTTTTGCTTTTACTTTTCCACTCATCTCGTCGATTTGCAGAAGCTCTTCAAATGCTGCTAAACCTTTGCTTTTAATCTCTTTCAAATGAGCCAATTTTTCTTCAGTTGTGAAATTTGCACTTTCAACTTTCAAAAGTTTATTAATAGACTCCATAATATCTCTTTTGGGTCGTTTTGCTTTTGTTGTATTATAATGTTTTCGCATACTAGTATTTATTTTATCAATTATTGATCTCTTATCATCATTAGCTTCCAACATTACGTCAAGCTTAACCTTTTGTCCGAAGCCATCAATTAACAGGTGAAGCGATAAACTTCGGGCGGTTGCACTTATGTCTGATGGGTAAAAAATTTCTTGAAGACCTACTAACCACTCACCGTTCAGATCAATTGCTCGAGCTAAACGATTTGAAAATTTTGTCAAAGTATTCTGAGGAAAGATGTCCATTGACGCATTTGATACTGCTTCAATGAAATATTCTTGAGGTTGGTTCCACATCTTGAACCCACTGATTGAATTTACTTGGATAATCTAGCCACTTAACAAAGTACTCCTTTTTCTTGGAACTTGGATTTATTCTTGTTCTTAATATTTTCTCGATCTGATATAAGCTCGGTTCTATAGCTTGGATAAGCTCATTATGGTAAAAAACTGATGTGATCCTTTCACCAGCATAATCCTCTAGCCAATAAACCCAACCTTGTGGTGTTCTCTTGTGTTTTCTTATTGTAAAAATTTCCAATTTGAAGTTTCGCTTAGCTCCTTTCTCGAATATTCCTTTCTCTCTTCTTATTCGGACCTTTGCACCCACAGAAAAAGGCTTGTAATTGGCATTACTTTTCGGATGACTTTTTCTTATATTTCTCAATACTGTTGAAGAATTTT